TTCTGGTGGGCTGTGTACAAAAATATTTCTGGTGGGCTGTGTACTAAAATATTTCTGGTGTGTGTACTAAAATATTTCTGGTGGGCTGTGTACTAAAATATTTCTGGTGGGCTGTGTACTAAAATATTTCTGGTGGGCTGTGTACTCAAATATTTCTGGTGGGCTGTGTACTAAAATATTTCTGGTGGGCTGTGTACTAAAATATTTCTGGTGGGCTGTGTACTAAAATATTTCTGGTGTGTGTACTAAAATATTTCTGGTGTGTGTACTAAAATATTTCTGGTGTGTGTACTAAAATATTTCTGGTGTGTGTACTAAAATATTTCTGGTGGGCTGTGTACTAAAATATTTATGGTGTGTGTACTAAAATATTTCTGGTGGGCTGTGTACTAAAATATTTCTGGTGGGCTGTGTACTAAAATATTTCTGGTGGGCTGTGTACTAAAATATTTCTGGTGGGCTGTGTACTAAAATATTTCTGGTGGGCTGTGTACTAAAATATTTCTTGTGTGTGTACTAAAATATTTCTGGGCTGTGTACTAAAATGTTTCTGGTGGGCTGTGTACTAAAATATTTCTGGGCTGTGTACTAAAATATTTCTGGTGTGTGTCCTAAAATATTTCTGGTGGGCTGTGTACTAAAATATTTCTGGTGGGCTGTGTACTAAAATATTTCTGGTGGGCTGTGTACTAAAATATTTCTGGGCTGTGTACTAAAATATTTCTGGTGTGTGTACTAAAATATTTCTGGTGGGCTGTGTACTAAAATATTTCTGGTGGGCTGTGTACTAAAATATTTCTGGTGGGCTGTGTTCTTAAATATTTCTGGTGGGCTGTGTACTAAAATATTTCTGGTGTGTGTACTAAAATATTTCTGGGCTGTGTACTAAAATATTTCTGGTGGGCTGTGTACTAAAATATTTCTGGTGGGCTGTGTACTAAAATATTTCTGGTGTGTGTACTAAAATATTTCTGGTGGGCTGTGTACTAAAATATTTCTGGTGTGTGTACTAAAATATTTCTGGTGGGCTGTGTACTAAAAATATTTCTGGTGTGTATACAAAAATATTTCTGGTGGGCTGTGTACTAAAATATTTCTGGTGTGTATACAAAAATATTTCTGGTGGGCTGTGTACTAAAATATTTCTGGTGTGTGTACTAAAATATTTCTGGACTGTGTACTAAAATATTTCTGGGCTGTGTACTAAAATATTTCTGGTGTGTGTACTAAAATATTTCTGGTGGGCTGTGTACTAAAATATTTCTGGTGGGCTGTGTACTAAAATATTTCTGGTGGGCTGTGTACTAAAATATTTCTGGTGTGTGTACTAAAATATTTCTGGGCTGTGTACTAAAATATTTCTGGTGGGCTGTGTACTAAAATATTTCTGGGCTGTGTACTAAAATATTTCTGGTGTGTGTCCTAAAATATTTCTGGTGGGCTGTGTACTAAAATATTTCTGGTGGGCTGTGTACTAAAATATTTCTGGTGGGCTTTGTACTAAAATATTTCTGGGCTGTGTACTAAAATATTTCTGGTGTGTGTACTAAAATATTTCTGGTGGGCTGTGTACTAAAATATTTCTGGTGGGCTGTGTACTAAAATATTTCTGGTGGGCTGTGTACTAAAATATTTCTGGGCTGTGTACTAAAATATTTCTGGTGTGTGTACTAAAATATTTCTGGTGGGCTGTGTACTAAAATATTTCTGGTGGGCTGTGTACTAAAATATTTCTGGTGGGCTGTGTACTAAAAATATTTCTGGTGTGTATACAAAAATATTTCTGGTGGGCTGTGTACTAAAATATTTCTGGTGGGCTGTGTACTAAAATATTTCTGGTGGGCTGTGTACTAAAATATTTCTGGTGGGCTGTGTACTAAAATATTTCTGGTGGGCTGTGTACTAAAATATTTCTGGTGGGCTGTGTACTAAAATATTTCTGGTGGGCTGTGTACTAAAATATTTCTGGTGTGTGTACTAAAATATTTCTGGTGGGCTGTGTACTAAAATATTTCTGGTGGGCTGTGTACTAAAATATTTCTGGGCTGTGTACTAAAATATTTCTGGTGGGCTGTGTACTAAAATATTTCTGGTGTGTGTACTAAAATATTTCTGGTGGGCTGTGTACTAAAAATATTTCTGGTGTGTATACAAAAATATTTCTGGTGGGCTGTGTACTAAAATATTTCTGGTGGGCTGTGTACTAAAATATTTCTGGTGGGCTGTGTACTAAAATATTTCTGGTGTGTGTACTAAAATATTTCTGGTGTGTGTACTAAAATATTTCTGGTGGGCTGTGTACTAAAATATTTCTGGTGGGCTGTGTACTAAAATATTTCTGGTGGGCTGTGTACTAAAATATTTCTGGTGGGCTGTGTACTAAAATATTTCTGGTGGGCTGTGTACTAAAATATTTCTGGGCTGTGTACTAAAATATTTCTGGTGTGTGTACTCAAATATTTCTGGTGGACTGTGTACTAAAATATTTCTGGTGGGCTGTGTACTAAAATATTTCTGGTGGGCTGTGTACTAAAATATTTCTGGTGGGCTGTGTACTAAAATATTTATGGTGGGCTGTGTACTAAAGTATTTCTGGTGTGTGTACTCAAATACTTCTGGTGTGTGTACTGAAATATTTCTGGTGGGCTGTGTACTAAAATATTTATGGTGTGTGTACTAAAATATTTCTGGTGTGTGTACTAAAATATTTCTGGTGGGCTGTGTACTAAAATATTTCTTGTGGGCTGTGTACTAAAATATTTCTGGTGTGTGTACTAAAATATTTCTGGTGGGCTGTGTACTAAAATATTTCTGGTGGGCTGTGTACTAAAATATTTCTGGTGTGTGTACTCAAATATTTCTGGTGGGCTGTGTACTAAAATATTTCTGGTGGGCTGTGTACTAAAATATTTCTGGTGGGCTGTGTACTAAAATATTTCTGGTGTGTGTACTAAAATATTTCTGGGCTGTGTACTAAAATATTTCTGGTGGGCTGTGTACTAAAATATTTCTGGTGGGCTGTTTACTATAATATTTATTTTGGGCTATGTACCGAAATATGTGTGTGTACACACACATATTTCTTTGAAGATGTGTACGGAAATATTTTTGTTGGGAGTTAAACATAATTATTTTTTAAAAATTAGGTTCCGTAAATTACTTGATGGTACCATCTCTGTGTACATAAATGTACATGCTATTTGGCTATTATGTGTGTATATCAATGTACATGCTTATACGTTACCATCTGTGTACATGAATCACGCTATTATGGTACCATATGTGTACATGAATGCACATGCTATAATTTGACCGTATGTGTGTACGTGAATACATATGCTATTTGTTACCACCATATAGCCACTTGGAATGTTCAGGTAATTCCCAATGTCGCGTGTAGATATGTAGGTGTTGTTTTCCCAGAATTCTGTTTTTGTAGTGCCAATAGATCTCAGGTCAATCCTGCAAGTCTGAGAGAGACGTCAGACGCCATTAAAGTCTTCCAGTTTGGCACAGGGGAAACGTTGGCATCATATGTGCTGTTTTCTGGATACATTCATAGATTATCCTGTTGAGTGGATATATTTATCCATACGTAGAGATTATGGTGGATGGGATAATTCCGTCTTTCAGTAAGTCTGGAATATTTTGGGATATGTTCATTAATCTTTAGTTGACATGCTGGATGTCAGATGTGATTTGTTAGATGGCAGATGTTTTAATATCAGACGATTGATCTAAGATGTAAATCGAACCTAAACTCAAGGTAAAGAGATCAGCCAGATGGGAGGGTTCAATGAAATGAAGGCGTGTTATCTTTAGTAGCCACACGCCTGCCACGGTGTGTTGTGTCTAACACGGTGTGTTGTCTCAAGCACTGTGTGTTGTGTCAAGTCAAGTGTAGTACGGTGTGACGTCAACATGTGTGTGTGTGTGTGGAGGGGGGGGGGGGGTCAATGACATCAGATGACTCAACGTTTGCTGGCCAGGATCTGTCAGCTCACACACACGTGCTGGAAGACTACGGAAGTCAACAGATTTTAACGCCAGTTTTAGTGCCAGAAAACCTAGCATGTCTGCAGTTTTGGGGAAATTCCTAAAATATTTGACTTAAACTTGCACCCCACCCCCCCCCCCCCCCCCCCCCCCCCCGAAAGTTATTTTAAAAGCTGACCTGTTTCATTATTTCATCTATTCACAATTTTAAATATATACATATACATCTTTTGGACCTTTACATTTAGACCTTTTGAGATGTCACGTATGGTACGCTACCCATAAATTACCTGTCCACGTAAACTTCCTGTGCACTACTAGTACACTACCTGTAACCTACATGTAAAATAGCTGTACAATACCTGCCAACTACATGTACACTATATTAAACTACCTGTACATTTCCTGTCCCCTACCTGTCACCTACCTGTCACCCACCTGTCACCCACCTGTCACCCACCTGTCACCCACCTGTCACCCACTTGTCACCCACCTGTCACCTACCTGTCCCCTACCTGTCCCCTACCTGTCACCTACCTGTCACCCACCTGTCACCCACCTGTCACCCACATGTCACCTACCTGTCACCTACCTGTCCCCTACCTGTCCCCTACCTGTCACCTACCGGTCACCTACCTGTCACCCACCTGTCACCCACCTGTCACCCACCTGTCACACACCTGTCACCCACATGTCACCCACCTGTCACCTACCTGTCCCCTACCTGTCACCTACCTGTCACCTACCTGTCCCCCACCTGTCCCCCACCTGTCCCCTACCTGTCACCTACCTGTCACCTACCTGTCCCCCACCTGTCACCCACCTGTCACCTACCTGTCACCCACCTGTCCCCCACCTGTCCCCCACCTGTCACCCACCTGTCACCCACCTGTCACCCACCTGTCACCTACCTGTCACCCACCTGTCACCCACCTGTCACCCACCTGTCACCCACCTGTCACCCACCTGTCACCCACCTGTCACTCACCTGTCACCTGCTATAGTTTCAGTGGACGCTGATGGAGACTAACGACAGCAAGGAGGGTTTTGACGAGGCAACCATGGAGATGTTATGCGCCAACCTGCCCAGCCACGCCTTCAACAGCACTACCCCCGACCCCCGGCTCCAGAAGGCGTGGCGTGAGACGGCCCGCACGAACCAGATCACCCCCCTGCTCAAGGAGGAGCTGCGGCTCAGGATCCTGGCCAAGCGGGAGCAGAAGGGGGAGCCCCAGATAGACACCACGTGTCAGGCTCCCAAAACCTACGAGGTGATGAGCGCACGGTGTGCATGTGCTGCTTCAAATTCTTGCACTCTACCGTTATAATAGACCATGTAGGCCTATTATATATATATATATATATATATATATATATATATATATATATATATATATATATATATATATATATATATATATATATATATATATATATATATATGAATATTATCTGTGATTTGTATCTATATATCACCCTTGATTGTCTTTAGAATCGTATATTTTGTTCATGTTGACGTAAGATAAGATTATTTAACCCGTGGAGAGGAGATAAAAATATTTAAAAGGCCATATTTAAAAGGCTCTAACCAAAATAGTTGTGGGAATTTCCGGTGTATAGAACTATCGGAAATTCCCGTAAAGTATCATCTTAGTAAATTATTATGTGCTACGAAAATAAACTGTTATAAAATTAATTATATTAAGATTAATGTTAATGTTTACGACATAAAATTCAAATTATTCATTTAAAGCTTGGTGAATTCAGCTTCAAAAAGATAACCAAATTAATCATTTTATCAGTACAAGCTACAATAAATACACCAGTATAGAAGTCAATATAATTTTAGAGTATTCAAGTCAGTTTAGTTTACACTTCTGTAGCTTACATCCGTTAACATCCATGTAAGCCTGTACGGTCAGGTGGCTTAGGGTAGCGATAGTGTCAACTTGACCTGGCATTGTGTCACTGGCGGTCTTAGCAGGACTACTACTGACCTCAATACTCCTATTACTGACCTAGACACTCCCACTACTGACCTAACACTCCCACTACTGACCTCAACACTCCTACTACTGACCAAACACTCATACTACTGACCAAACACTCATACTACTGACCTAACACTCCTACTACTGACCTAACACTCCTACTACTGACCTAACACTCCTACTACTGACCTAACACTCCTACTACTGACCTAACACTCCCACTACTGACCTCAACACTCCTACTACTGACCAAACACTCATACTACTGACCTAACACTCCTACTACTGACCTAACACTCCTACTACTGACCAAACACTCATACTACTGACCTAACACTCCTACTACTGACCTCAACACTCCTACTACTGACCTAACACTCATACTACTGACCAAACACTCCTACTACTGACCTAACACTCCTACTACTGACCAAACACTCATACTACTGACCTAACACTCCTACTACTGACCTAACACTCCTACTACTGACCTAACACTCCTACTACTGACCTAACACTCCTACTACTGACCTCAATACTCCTACTACTGACCTAACACTCATACTACTGACCTAACACTCCTACTACTGACCTAACACTCCTACTACTGACCTCAATACTCCTACTACTGACCTAACACTCCTACTTCTGACCTAACACTCCTACTACTGACCTCAACACTCCTACTTCTGACCTAACACTCCTACTACTGACCTCAATACTCCTACTACTGACCTCAATACTCCTACTACTGACCTAACACTCATACTACTGACCTAACACTCCTACTACTGACCTAACACTCCTACTACTGACCTCAATACTCCTACTACTGACCTAACACTCCTACTACTGACCTAACACTCCTACTTCTGACCTAACACTCCTACTACTGACCTCAACACTCCTACTTCTGACCTAACACTCCTACTACTGACCTCAATACTCCTACTACTGACCTCAATACTCCTACTACTGACCTAACACTCATACTACTGACCTAACACTCCTACTACTGACCTAACACTCCTACTACTGACCTCAATACTCCTACTACTGACCTAACACTCCTACTACTGACCTAACACTCCTACTACTGACCTAACACTCATACTACTGACCTAACACTCCTACTACTGACCTAACACTCCTACTACTGACCTCAATACTCCTACTACTGACCTAGACACTCCCACTACTGACCTCAATGCCTCCATTTCTGACCTCAACACCTCCACTAGAGACCTAAATCCTAAATTCTGCCACTTTTACAATGACCAACCTCTTCTTGAACGGCACGAGATTATGACAAGCAACTCTAGTACATCAGGGTACACAACCGAGAAAATGACATTGAGTACAAGACCTTATTAAGTACTCTCCCTTGAATATAACAATTGTTATCCGTGTACAAATAATTATTAGATTAGATTAGACTCATAACCGAAACACAACTGATCCCATAGGACCAGCTGACCCCATAGGACCAACTGACCCCATAGGACCAACTGACCCCATAGGACCAACTGACCCCATAGGACAGATTGACCCCATTGGACCAACTGACCCCATAGGACCAACTGACCCCATAGGACAGATTGACCCCATAGGACCAACTGACCCCATTGTACCAACTGAACCCAGTTACTGACACCAAAGAAACAGAATCGAACATTGTATAAAATAGCCCCCCCCCCCCACGAGACCCCACTACCGACCCCAACTGACCCCATCGAATGGTGTCCTCTACTGCAGCTGACGGAAGAAGAGAAGAAGAAAAGAGAAAGAAGAAAAGAACAGAACAGACGAGCGGCCAAAAAATGTCGAGAGAAGAGGAAGATGAAAACTCTGAGTGACGCCGAGGTAAGTGGGCGTGGTCTAGGGTGGGGCTGTGGGTGTGGCGTGATGGTGGATGTGGGTGTGGTGATGATGGTGTGTGTGTGGCGGGGTGATGGTGGATGTGGTGTGGTGATGATGGTGTGTGTGTGTAGCGTGATGGTGGATGTGGGTGTGGTGATGATGGTGGATGTGGTGTGGTGATGATGGTGTGGGTGTGGTGATGATGGTGTGTGTGGTGATGATGGTGTGTGTGTGTGTGTGTGGCGTGATGGTGGATGTGGGTGTGGTGATGATGGTGTGTGTGTGTGTGGCGTGATGGTGGATGTGGGTGTGGTGATGATGGTTGATGTGGTGTGGTGATGATGGTGTGTATGGGTGGGTGATGGTGGATGTGGGTGTGGTGATGATGGTGGATGGGGGTGTGGTGATGATGGTGTGTGTGTGGCGTGATGGTGGATGTGGGTGTGATGATGATGGTATGTGTGTGGGGGTGATGGTGGATGTGGCTGTGGTGATGATGGTGTGTGTGTGGGGGTGATGGTGTGTGTGTGTGGGGGGGGAGGGTGATGGTAGTTGTGGTGATGATGGTGTGTGTTTGGGGTGATGGTAGATGTGGGTGTGGTGATGATGGTGTGTGTGTGGGTGATGGTGGATGTGTGTGTGGTGATGATGGTGTGGGGTGATGGTGGGTTTGGTGATGATGGTGTGTGGGGGTGATGGTGGATGTGGGTGTGGTGATGTTGGTGTGTTTGGGGTGATGGTGGATGTGGGTGTGGTGATGATGGTGTGGATGTGGTGATGATGGCGTGGATGTGGGTTAGTGATTATGGTGTGGATGTGGGTGTGTTGGTGGGGATGTGGTGATGATGGTGTGGATGTGCGTGGAGTGATGATGGTGTGGATGTGGTGATGATGGTGTGGATGTGCGCGTAGTGTTGATGTGGATGTAGTGATGATGGTGTGGGTGTGCGTGTGGTGATGTTGTCACTAAGATCAACTTGCTTGTCCAGAGAACTGACAGCAACAGGGAGCTGAACCAGAAGCTCAAGGACGACGTGACCTTCAAGCGTCACCAGCACCAGGTCTTGGAGAAGTTCTGCCGTGAGCACATCTTCAGTGGCAAGTGTGCCCTGGTGCCCTGCTGCCCTCAGTCACGGGCAGATGATGGGGAACCCAGTCTGACTCAGCACGGGGAACAAGGGCAGCATCAGGAACATAGCCAAGGGGAACATGTGGAACATGGACAAGATCCCCCCGGACCATCACAACCTGTGTCACGTGACTGCCCCAGTCTTCTGGCCGCTGATCTCTCACCGGAAGCGGAAGTTGTCTCCAAAATCCCAGCAGACGTAGAGCAGGTGGAGCAGAAGATGGAGCTGGACGTGCTGGACGACGTGTCCGAACTTTTCCCCGCCCACGTGGACTTGTCGGGCAGCTCGCCCGTGCCCTCCCCTGCCCCTCCCTCCAACCTGTTCCAGTCGATTGACCACACCTGCGGTCAGACCGGTGACGTCACCACTGATCAGCTTGGGACGGGCCCATCCTTCTACCCCAGCAGTGACCCGTCGCTTCTCGTCCCCAGTACCCCTGCCTTCACTGTCACCCCCGAGCCTGCAGACCAGTGCGGCAGTGGGTCGCTGGGTGGGTCGCTGGGTGGGTCGCTGGGTGGGTCGCTGGTTCGAACAGGCAACGTGACGTCACCTCACGCATTCTATCTGCTCTCTCCCAGCCAATCAACGAGCGCCACGAGAGGGGGCATGGACCACGTGATGCTGACCAGCCAGGCGTCCATTGACATGAAAGAAACCACCGAGGCCGGCTCGACCAACATGGACGCCCTGGTGGCCGGCGACGACATCTACGACGAGCTCAGCCTTGACCTCTTCCTCAACAGCTACCAGCACTGTGACGTAGAGCTCTTCACGCAGACAGGCCCTACCTCACCCATGACGCCCATCTCCCCCTGCTCCCCCACCCTCTCCCACCCCGACTTCCCCCAGCCGGACCACGCACACCTCCTGCAGGCGGTCGAGAGTATTTTGACTAGCGCCACGCCCACCCGCGTGCCCGGGCACGAGACGGCAGCCCGACCAGTCATGCGGCGCGCCTCGTCAACCGTGTCGGTCCCTTCTCCCTACGGCAGTCACCTTCTGACGTCATCACTGAGCCCGCCACCCAGCGTTCCCTCCCCCTCGAGCCACGGGGTCCCTGAGTCTCCCTCCATCCTGACGGGCCTGGCCGTGTGCGAGGAGGGCCGCTACGTCACCCAGTTCTCCCCCGTTAGCTCCGCCTCCGGGGGGATCCTCAGTCCAATCAGATACGCCGAGTTCTCAGAGGAAGAGTTCTTGAACCCGCGATAGAAGATCTGGCCGACCGCCCAGCGATGATTGACGGCCTGTCAGCACTGACTTGCTGTAGAACTGAACTTAGTCAAGGACTGACCCAGGCCGGACGTCAAGCACTGAGCCGAGGCCGGACGTCAAGCACTGACCTGAAGCAGGACGTCAAACATCCATCTTGATCGACCCACTACATCTTTCACATCCAACTTTTATAAACTTGTATTTGGTTGGCATCATCTTAACGCGAACGTTTTGTATAGGCCACGTATATTAATTATATTTGTACCCGAGTTTGTATGCCATTTTTCAAAGGTATTCTCTTAGTACTATGTGACATCTGTCTTTGTTAAGCGCCATTTGTCTGTGTCGCGTGACAATGAGTCTTTGTTGTACCGTAAAGCATCTGTTTTTAGTACATGACATGTGTCTTTGTTTTCTATGTGGGATGTCCACCAGTAACATCCTCATCCCAAACTTCTCCCAAAGGTCTTTCAAATTTTTAGATATAATGTGTGTGTGTGTGCGTGTGTCTGTACGAATGTGTGTGAGCGCGCGGTTATTATGTAAATATACAATTCATTGTTTATGAATGCAACATTCCCATTTAAGTGGTCAGATATTCGCGCATACGACCGCAAACCGGAAAGTTTCAAGTTCTGATCCCCGCGCTCAAGTATGTAGGAAGTCCCTGAGTTCACCCAGCTCTAATCGGTACCTGACTCGCGTTAGGGAAATTGTAACACACATAGGTAAACTACATAGTGGGCTGGGGTGACCATCTAGAGCCGTGATGACGTAGTGGGCTGGGGTGACCATCTAGAGCCGTGATGACGTAGTGGGCTGAGGTGACCATCTATAGCCGTGATGACGTAGTGGGCTGGGGCGACCATCTAGAGCCGTGATGACGTAGTGGGCTGGGGTGACCATCTAGAGCCGTGATGACGTAGTGGGCTGGGGTGACCATCTAGAGCCGTGATGACGTAGTGGGCTGGGGTGACCATCTAGAACCGTGATGACGTAGTGGGCTGGGGTGACCATCTAGAGTCGTGATGACGTAGTGGGCTGGGGTGACCATCTAGAGCCGTGATGACGTAGTGGGCTGGGGTGACCATCTAGAGCCGTGATGACGTAGTGGGCTGGGGTGACCATCTAGAGCCGTGATGACGTAGTGGGCTGGGGTGACCATCTAGAGCTGTGATGACGTAGTGGGCTGGGGCGACCATCTAGAGCCGTGATGACGTAGTGGGCTGGGGTGACCATCTAGAGCCGTGATGACGTAGTGGGCTGGGGCGACCATCTAGAGCCGTGATGACGTAGTGGGCTGGGGTGACCATCTAGAGCCGTGATGACGTAGTGGGCTGGGGTGACCATCTAGAGCCGTGATGACGTAGTGGGCTGGGGTGACCATCTAGAGCCGTGATGACGTAGTGGGCTGGGGTGACCATCTAGAGCCGTGATGACGTAGTGGGCTGGGGGTGACCATCTAGAGCCGTGATGACGTAGTGGGCTGGGGTGACCATCTAGAGCCGTGATGACGTAGTGGGCTGGGGTGACCATCTAGAGCCGTGATGACGTAGTGGGCTGGGGTGACCATCTAGAGCCGTGATGACGTAGTGGGCTGGGGTGACCATCTAGAGCCGTGATGACGTAGTGGGCTGGGGTGACCATCTAGAGCCGTGATGACGTAGTGGGCTGGGGTGACCATCTAGAGCCGTGATGACGTAGTGGGCTGGGGTGACCATCTAGAGCCGTGTGTATGATGACGTAGTGGGCTGGGGGTGACCATCTAGAGCCGTGATGACGTAGTGGGCTGGGGTGACCATCTAGAGCCGTGATGACGTAGTGGGCTGGGGTGACCATCTAGAGCCGTGATGACGTAGTGGGCTGGGGTGACCATCTAGAGCCATGATGACGTAGTGGGCTGGGGTGACCATCTAGAGCCGTGTGTATGATGACGTAGTGGGCTGGGGTGACCATCTAGAGCCGTGTGTATGATGACGTAGTGGGCTGGGGTGACCATCTAGAGCCGTGATGACGTAGTGGGCTGGGGATACCATCTAGAGCCGTGATGACGTAGTGGGCTGGGGTGACCATCTAGAGCCGTGATGACGTAGTGGGCTGGGGTGACCATCTAGAGCCGTGATGACGTAGTGGGCTGGGGATACCATCTAGAGCCGTGATGACGTAGTGGGCTGGGGTGACCATCTAGAGCCGTGATGACGTAGTGGGCTGGGGTGACCATCTAGAGCCGTGATGACACGTAGTGGGCTGGGGTGACCATCTAGAGCCGTGATGACGTAGTGGGCTGGGGTGACCATCTAGAGCCGTGAACTGACCACAACAAGTACCACAATTTGACTGGGTCATTGTTTACAAAGTAGGTCATGTTTTTTATTTAAATATAGGACCTTGATAAAAATTTACAACCAAGGTTATAGTTGTGAAAATGCCATAGAGGAGATGCGTGTATATAGTTTTTCTTTTGTTAATTGATGGTTTTATGCATGTGTTTGGGGGGGGGGGGGGGGTACTTTTTGAAGGCCACTTGTATCAGACCATGGAGGCTGTATTTAGATTGGTAGGGTTGAAAATGTACATTTGTATTAGTGAGATTCCGAGGGTAGCGTGTTTGTGGGAATCCCTGAGTGGATTCACTATATATATATATATATATATATATATATATATATATATATATATATATATATATATATATATATATATATATATATATATAGGCCTATATATATATATATATATACATGGCGTCGCTAGGTCGGGTGTCACCCGGTGCGGTACCTACGGGTGTCATCCCCGTTTTTTCACTGTAAATTTTTCAGTTGTTTTCGGCCCCCCCCCCCTTAATACTAATGATGTTTTTCTATGATCGGTTGTTTTTACATTGTATGTAACATTGTTTTCTCTATAGTTTGCATGTTTACCTCAAAGTGTCACACCCCCCCCCCCCCCCCGACCCTCTAGTCGGGATCATAAATTTGTACTTCAAATATTTTAACTCTAATTAATCATCCATTGAATTGGAAAAAAAAACTTTATTCTATATAGATTTTTTATTTTAGTGTCCACCTCCCCCCCCCCCCGCCAAATGGTGTAAAACATGTGCGGTCCGCACCCCCCAACCCTCGAGCTCCCGCCTCGCGACGCCTCTGATATATATATATATATATATATATATATTACACATATATATATATATATATATATATATATATATATATATATATATATATATATATATATATATATATATATATATATATATTTATATATATATATATTTATATATATATATATATGTGTGTGTGGTGTGTGTGTGTAGTATGTGTGTCTGTGTGTATAATGTGTGTCTGTGTGTATATAGACGTATGATATTTGAGTAATAATACTATATTTATATGATCTGTTTAGACAATGAATAAACTCAATATTCTTGATCGGTATTCTTGTAGTTTTTCGCTTGATATTAGATGTGTTCGTCATCTATAAGATAAAATAGAATCTAAATAAAATTTAAAAAGAAGAGTATTCTATTAGAGCCTGATTTTTTCTTTTTCTTAGTAGATATACACTCCCTCTCCCCCCTGATCTTTTTTACTCTCTACCCTTGTGCTTATCTTCTCTCTGTTCTCACCTCTCATTCTCCCCTCCTCTCTCGCGCACTCCCTCCTTTACTCTCCAACGTATATCTCTTTTCTAACTATAAAATCAACTACATTTAGAATACCTAAATCATAAAGTTTGATTTTTTTGAAACTTTCGAACAAGTGTAAAGCTACCCAACCTGACCAGTGGGCTGTGACACCTGGGGGGGGGGGGGGGGGGGTAACATCACCCAGGGGGTGACATCACTACAATAAAATACCTTATGAGTTTGTCTAATAACTTATCAAAGTTATATACATCACGAGGTAAATGGTGCACTATCAGAGAGGGTGCCACCAATTGCCTATAGTTTCAGTACATGGTTGGGGGTGGGGGTGGCACCCTGAGAAACTGCAGTGGGTGTCACTAGACCTAGGAAACATAGGCTCTAGTACATCCGTGGGGAACAGCTTGACTTAGATTTATGTGGGGAACAGCTTGTTTATGTCTCGTTGTGTCAAAATTGCAAGGGGATTTAAAAAATTGAGTGGAATATGTATTTATACTATAAACCGCTAGGTAATGTGCAAGTAATATAGTAAATGCTGTAACTTTCACTCCCTTAATAAACACATACTTATAACATTTTAGTTTTCCTTATTTAAATACTTGTTAATTATCATACATTTTACAAAAATCATTTATTGCAAGCTTTTTAAAGCAAAAAATGGCTAAAAATAATTGAGAAACAAATACATACGAGAAATGTGCGGTAAGTAGTACTTTCAATTAATTCTTTAAAAATTAATAAGCATCCAGTTAAGTCAAGTCTGATTAAGGTAATATATAGGCATAGAGTTGGAGTTAGAATCAGGATTCTATCTTGGTGGATGGGGGGGGGGGGGGGTAATTCCCCAGGGGGTAATTGCTCCGGGGGGAAATACGGGGGGAAATGTCCGGAGGGGGGGAGGTAATGTCCTGCAGCCGTTAGGCCTATATATTTAAAGAAAATAGTTTATTCTCTCCTTTTTAGTGCATTATTACATAAAATCTTGTTATTAAAATGTCTTTATGCATTGTTTTTTTCAGTAGGAGCATTCTTTAAAATTTAGGTCCCCCTACTTTATTTCTAAAAATCTAATTAACTCATTAAAAATTAATTAGTTATACAATTAAATCAAATTTGATGTCGGATTGCATTGTCATCGGGTCTTGGCCCACGTGCCTAGTTTGAAACGAATCGGTCAGTTCGAAATTTCATTCGGCAGTTTTGATGACGACAACCATAAAAAAAAAGATAGAGAAAGCAAGTTAAATAATAGATTGCAAAAACAAATTAAATTGAACTATTAATAATGAACCACTGCATCGGCGTGAAAGATGTTTCACCAAAGGTGTGTAGAAATCTCGTGCCCAAAGCGCGCTTCCGGTTTAAAGTCAGCTCCTGATAAAATGGCGGCCGTCCATTGATCAGCGTAGGCCCCCCCACGTACAGCAGCCACAGTATGGGTCGCAGTCCTCCCCCAGCCAGGGGACACGACAAGACATGAAGGGACACAACTCATTCAATGGAATTGGTTGACAACTGGGCATCAGTCGAGTTGGCTCTAGGAACAAATGGGAATGTGTTGTTCTTTTGGTCAGTTCACACTTTGTTTACTTACTAGAGTTGGCTCTAGGAACAAATGGGAATGTGTTGTTCTTTTGGTCAGTTCACACTTTGTTTACTTACTATAGACTAGTATAGACTGACCTTAGTTCTACCCAGAGTAGATCCAGTAGCGTAGCGAGGGGGGGGGGGACATATGTCCCCGGGCGCCGACCTTAGGGGGGGGGCGCCAAATTGAAAGTTTGAGGGGGGGTTGCAAATCGAAAGTTTGAGGGGGGGTGCAAATGAAAAGTTCGAGGGGGGGTTGCAAATCGAAAATTTGCTCCCAAGGGGCGCCAAATTGAAAGTATGTCCCCGGGCGCCGGGAAGGGTCGCTACGCCTCTGAGTAGATCTAGTATAGACAGTCCTCAGTTCTACCTAGAGTAGATCTAATATAGACTGACCTTAGTTCTACCTAGAGTAGATTTATAATAGACAGTCCTCCGTTCTACCTAGAGTAGATCTAGTATAGTCAGTCCTACGTTCTACATAGAGTAGATCTAGTATAGACTGACCTTAGTTCTACCTAGAGTAGATTTATAATAGACAGTCCTCCGTTCTACCTAGAGTAGATCTAGTATAGACTGTCCTCAGTGTTTCTTCCAGACTTTTTTCTCCGAAAGGGGGGGTGGAGGCCTACTTGATATTTTGTTTTGGGGGGGGGGGGAGCGGATACTGGTAAAAGTATGTTTTCTATATAAATTCCATTTTGTTCGGGGGGGGGGGGGGGGCGCGGTAGACTTTCTTCGGGGGGGGGGGGGGGGGGTAGGGTTAGTGTTAGGGGTAGATTTAGAGTAGATCTAGTACAGTCCTCAGTTCTACCTAGAGTAGATCTAGTCCCACAGCAAAGTGTATTACGGTTAAAGGTCCGCTAGCAGTTTATGGCGAGAGGTCTATGGCGAGTGGTGTATGGTTAGAGGTATATGGTTAAGGTCTTTGGCTAGATGTCTATGGCTAGAGGTCTATGGTGCTGTTGGTGTATGGTTAAAGGTATATGGCTAAGGTCTATGGCTAGAGAATTCAGGCTAGAAATCAGGATAAATGTCTACTATATGCTTAGACGTGGAAGGTTAGATAAATGTATTGGTTAAAAATTTAAAAGCGATGGCGCATTACTCTAAAACATATTTTTTTCGTATTTGTAAATTTGATTTGTGAGGCTAAAGTTTGCAATAGTCTACAGTCTATATCTTTTTGAAATAATGGACAAAACAAAAGTGACCTAGTTATGGTCAAATGAGCGTCCATTTGCGACCTGCACGAAATTGACTGGTGTCCGTCTGTCACGTGCCCACATTTAAGATCACGTGATCTCTGGAGGTTTTTATTGTAGGGCGGCGTCAAACTGGAGTTGAGCCATGTCAAGGTCACCACAGTTTTTACTTTCACCCCGAGGGTCCCGTCAACAGCGGCACCTACAACATTGTGTACCGGCCGCCCCACCTCAATGAGCGGCTTGCACCAGGTATGTGGTAGTAGCGGATAAGGGGGGGGGGGGGGAGGGCGGAGAGGGCATCAGCTGAGGGCCCCCGATTTTCAAGTACCCCCAAATTTTCTCGTACAAACAATAGTAAACTTCATTTAGTGAGTAATTTTTTTAATAATAAAAACCAACAATGTTTTAATTGTTGTTAAAACATTGTTTTAATCTTTGAATTAGATGCTTATTTTCATTTTTTTTCTGAATATATGAAACACGTGCATACCCTCTAGTATAAATATAAGCTGTCATCACCTAATACACAGACATTGTTTATCTAAACAAAGTAACATATTCGAGACCAGCGATCGCTTATGATTTCAGATTTTTTTTTAAAGACCACACAGCAGCTGAATTCTGACAAATGATTTAAAGATTAAACCCGCTAAAAAAATATAATTTTAAAATGTTCTACCAATGTTTGTCATAGCTTATGCTAGTAAATTTCCATACAGGCGTTGTTTTTTTTCTGTTGGTTAAGTGATCGTAATTTACCCAACCAAGGCTACCAAAATGTTCTTCACGGGGGAAAAAAAATCTTTAAAAAAAAACGCCCCCCCCCCCCTATAGTATTAACGCTTGCACTGTTCCCCAGGCGAGGCCAAGCCCAGGTTTTGGGTCAACCCCAGCACCGTCCTGCAGAACCCAGCGATGGTCAGTGTAGCCTGGTGCCAACTGTGCCAGCCTCAACACTTGAACCCAGCCAGACAGACCAGTAAGTGCTAGAACATTCTGTTTTGGATGGCGTTGTCATGTATAGAGGAACTAGCCGTCGGTACCCGTTACACGTGAATTATAGGACTATATATTTTAATGGTATACTTTTTTGAGAAAAATATTTTATAGAATAGTTATTGGTCAAAACGCAATGTGCTTTACTAAACGTTGAACAATATTAGTGACAACGCAAAGAAATAATTAAAAATCCAACACATTTAAAATAACACAGGCTACAAAGACCTATTAGAAAAAACAAATTAGTCAACACAACACAAGTAGCGTAGCGAGGGGGGGGGCGGGGGGGGCATATGTCCCCGGGCGCCGAGCTTAGGGGGCGCCAAAATGGGTTGGAAAAATAAATTGAAAGGTTGAGGGGGGTGGAAATTGACAGTTTGAGGGGGGGGTGCAAATCGAAAGTTTGAGGGGGGGGGGGCGCAAATCAAAATCTCGAGGGGGGGGTGCAAATCGAAAAGTTTGTCCCCGGACGCCGGGAAGGGTCGCTACGCCTCTGCACAACACCATATTAAATGCACACACTGATTAATAGACTTTAATGATTCCATTAACCCGGCTGTTCAATGGTATTTATGTGTTTTTTTTAAGTAATTGACCGAGAAAAATGTATACATTTCATAGCGTACGTCAGGATAAGTAGATCTATGAATCTAGATCTAAATCAAATTGGAATAAAATAGTTCAATTCTTCATATTCTAAAATTATAAGATGACGCCATTAGTTTTGTGTACTTTCCGTAGTTTCAACATGTGACATGCGACGTCATTGTTTTTAAGCGTTCTTGTAATAAACACTTTTCCGGTTGAATACTTAAAAATGTGTTTCTACATTCGAATATGTCTTTATTTTTATTTTCCTTCTTTAAATACAATTTAGTTTATACATTTAAAACATCCAACATATTATTTTCAACAACAGTCCGTATCTTTAAGTTCTCCATATTATATCGCTGAACATACTGATCACATAGCCTCAAAAATGTTGCGGACAGAGCAAGAGAGAGAGAAAGAGACAAAGAGAGAGAAGTGCGCACATGGTCTTTTATATATTAGGATGCAGTCATTTGGTTAGACTTATACGTGCAGTCATTTAGCTAGACTTAAACTATATAATATCCCGTGGACACTGTCCTACCCTACTATCTGACAGATAAGCGACTCAACCAGCGTAAACCCAACAATGTCCTACCCTACTATCTGACAGATAAGCGACTCAACCAGCGTAAACCCAACAATGTCCTACCCTACTATCTGACAGATAAGCGACTCAACCAGCGTAAACCCAACAATGTCCTACCCTACTATCTGACAGATAAGCGACTCAACCAGCGTAAACCCAACAATGTCCTACCCTACTATCTGACAGATAAGCGACTCAACCAGCGTAAACCCAATAAAGTCGAGCCTCACGTGGAGGTCCCTCTCACCTGTCATGACGTCAGCATGGAGGGAGGGGATAAAACCATGACGGTCAAAGCTTACCCCAACTTCATCTTACCATACGTCAACAAGGTACGTCTCCTAGTCTGGTAACTTATGACGAATGTATGCCCCTCATGTTCAACGTATGACCCACATGACAGATAAATGTCCCACCTGATCAACTTATGACCCACATGCTCAACGTATGACCCACGTAACAAATGTATGACCCCCCGCCCCCCACCCCCAACGTTCCAGTGTCTGCGCATCAGGCTGGTGTTCCTGGACCCCAAGGTCGAGCAGCTGGTGGGTGAGTACAGCCACCTCAAGCACGCGCGGGACACGGACAGTGACCCCATGACGGAGATGTCACACCTGGTCAGAAACCTGCACTCGCTCAAGCTTCACCTCAAATACAGGTCAGGAGGGGTGACGTCATGTCCGTCATGTCACGTCATGTCACGTCATGTCACGTCGTCATGTCACGTCGTCATGTCACGTCGTCATGTCACGTCGTCATGTCACGGACTTCAGGTCTTGTTTGTAAAGTCGTGAGGGCACCACGGAGGAGGGCATGATGCATTGGGGGGGGGGGCAGGGTACAGAGGGTGAGGGCAGGGCATGTTAAAGTGGGGGCAGGCAGGGTGCAGTGGGTGAGGGCAGGGCTGGGTGACTGCCACAGTTGACCAATATCTTCCTATCTAGCCACGTGGTCCAGGGCCTGCCGGAAGTGACGTTGGAAGAAAACCACGGCGGAATCAAACGGCTGAAGCGAGTCAGATATCGATCTATGCCCGTCAACTGGATCGATCTCGATCACCGCAAGCCACGGATTACCATCGTTGGTACATACGTCATTACATACGTCATGTTTTATATGTACATACGTCATTACATATGTCTGTGTATATGTATATACGTCATTACAGCTGTCTGTTGTATATGTACATACATCATTACATCTGTTTTATATGTATATACGTCTTTACAACAGTCTGTTTTATATGTACAGGAGTCTTCTCTAAATGACGTCACACTCAACAAAGTCAAAAGTCAGGCATCACCGAGTGCGATCACCCCCCCCCCCCCCCACGCCCTCAATAGTTTTTCTTTTTTTTTTTTAGTGTCACCCGTCTCCCCCTTCTACTTGAACAGATAAAACAATGTCTTGCTTGACAGTCCATTTTACGGCCTTTGGGGTTTGTTTCACCATCCAACGCCATCTTTTTAATTGACCTGACACAGCTTCCATTTCCCCTCGATCTAGTATCCAATGGATAACTTAAATCATTGGTTGATCCAATGGATAACTTAAATCTTTGGTTGATCCAATGATTGACTTTAATCTTTGGTTGATCCAATGGATAACTTTAATCTTTGGTTGATCCAATGGATGACTTAAATCTTTTGGTTGATCCAATGGATGACTTAAATCTTTGTTTGATCCAATGGATGACTTTAATCTTTGGTTGATCCAATGGTTGACTTAAATCTTTCGCAGGCTTTAAGTGTAGTAGTAGTCCAGTCATCTGCTGGTGGCGGTTGTTACTTTCCAGCATTTGTTGCCATACAGCTTAGGACATTACTTTTGTAAAGGAAATTTTCTACAATCGCAATATTTTTTTCTGTGCATGTTGTAGCGTGTAGCCTTGTTGTAGCGTGTAGCCTTGTTGTAGCGTGTAGCATTGTAGCGTGTAGCCTTGTTGTAGCGTGTAGCCTTGTTGTAGCGTGTAGCCTTGTAGCATGTAGCCTTGTTGTAGCGTGTAGCCTTGTTGTAGCGTGTAGCCTTGTTGTAGCGTGTAGCCTTGTTGTAGCGTGTAGCATTGTAGCGTGTAGCCTTGTTGTAGCGTGTAGCCTTGTTGTAGCGTGTAGCATTGTTGTAGCGTGTAGCCTTGTTGTAACATGTAGCCTTGTTGTTACATGTAGCCTTGTTGTAGCGTGTAGCATTGTTGTAGCGTGTAGCATTGTAGCGTGTAGCCTTGTTGTAGCGTGTAGCCTTGTAACATGTAGCCTTGTTGTAGCTTGTAGCCTTGTTGTAACATGTAGTCTTGTTGTAGCGTGTAGCCTTGTTGTAGCGTGTAGCATTGTAGCGTGTAGCCTTGTTGTAGCGTGTAGCCTTGTAACATGTAGCCTTGTTGTAGCGTGTAGCCTTGTTGTAGCGTGTAGCCTTGTTGTAGCGTGTAGCCTTGTTGTAGCGTGTAGCCTTGTTGTAGCGTGTAGCATTGTAGCGTGTAGCCTTGTTGTAGCGTGTAGCCTTGTTGTAGCGTGTAGCCTTGTAGCATGTAGCCTTGTTGTAGCGTGTAGCCTTGTTGTAGCGTGTAGCCTTGTTGTAGCGTGTAGCCTTGTTGTAGCGTGTAGCCTTGTTGTAGCGTGTAGCCTTGTTGTAGCGTGTAGCCTTGTTGTAGCGTGTAGCCTTGTTGTAGCGTGTAGCCTTGTTGTAGCGTGTAGCATTGTAGCGTGTAGCCTTGTTGTAGCGTGTAGCCTTGTTGTAGCGTGTAGCCTTGTAACATGTAGCCTTGTTGTAGCGTGTAGCCTTGTTGTAGCGTGTAGCCTTGTTGTAGCGTGTAGCCTTGTTGTAGCGTGTAGCCTTGTTGTAGCGTGTAGCCTTGTTGTAGCGTGTAGCCTTGTTGTAGCGTGTAGCCTTGTTGTAGCATGTAGCCTTGTTGTAGCGTGTAGCCTTGTTGTAGCGTGTAGCCTTGTTGTAGCATGTAGCCTTGTTGTAGCGTGTAGCCTTGTTGTAGCGTGTAGCCTTGTTGTAGCGTGTAGCCTTGTAACATGTAGCCTTGTTGTAGCGTGTAGCCTTGTTGTAGCATGTAGCCTTGTTGTAGCGTGTAGCCTTGTTGTAGCGTGTAGCCTTGTTGTAGCATGTAGCCTTGTTGTAGCGTGTAGCCTTGTTGTAGCGTGTAGCCTTGTTGTAGCGTGTAGCCTTGTTGTAGCGTGTAGCATTGTTGTAACATGTAGCCTTGTTGTAGCGTGTAGCCTTGTAACATGTAGCCTTGTTGTAGCGTGTAGCCTTGTTGTAGCGTGTAGCATTGTAGCGTGTAGCCTTGTTGTAGCGTGTAGCCTTGTTACATGTAGCCTTGTTGTAGCGTGTAGCCTTGTTGTAGCGTGTAGCATTGTAGCGTGTAGCCTTGTTGTAGCGTGTAGCCTTGTTGTAGCGTGTAGCCTTGTTGTAGCGTGTAGCCTTGTTGTAGCGTGTAGCCTTGTTGTAGCGTGTAGCATTGTTGTAACATGTAGCCTTGTTGTAGCGTGTAGCCTTGTTGTAGCGTGTAGCCTTGTTGTAGCGTGTAGCCTTGTTGTAGCGTGTAGCATTGTTGTAACATGTAGCCTTGTTGTAGCGTGTAGCCTTGTTGTAGCGTGTAGCCTTGTTGTAGCGTGTAGCCTTGTTGTAGCATGTAGCCTTGTTGTAGCGTGTAGCCTTGTTGTAGCGTGTAGCCTTGTTGTAGCGTGTAGCATTGTAGCGTGTAGCCTTGTTGTAGCGTGTAGCCTTGTTGTAGCGTGTATCCTTGTTACATGTAGCCTTGTTGTAGCGTGTAGCCTTGTTGTAGCGTGTAGCATTGTAGCGTGTAGCATTGTTGTAGCGTGTAGCCTTGTTGTAGCGTGTAGCATTGTAGCGTGTAGCCTTGTTGTATTGTGTAGCCTTGTAACATGTAGCCTTGTTGTAGCGTGTAGCCTTGTTGTAGCGTGTAGCATTGTAGCGTGTAGCCTTGTTGTAGCGTGTAGCCTTGTTGTAGCGTGTAGCCTTGTTGTAGCGTGTAGCCTTGTAACATGTAGCCTTGTTGTAGCATGTAGCCTTGTTGTAGCGTGTAGCATTGTAGCGTGTAGCCTTGTTGTAGCGTGTAGCCTTGTTGTAGCGTGTAGCATTGTAGCGTGTAGCCTTGTTGTAGCGTGTAGCCTTGTTGTAGCGTGTAGCCTTGTTGTAGCGTGTAGCCTTGTTGTAGCGTGTAGCCTTGTTGTAGCGTGTAGCCTTGTTGTAGCGTGTAGCCTTGTTGTAGCGTGTAGCCTTGTAACATGTAGCCTTGTTGTAGCATGTAGCCTTGTTGTAGCGTGTAGCATTGTAGCGTGTAGCCTTGTTGTAGCGTGTAGCCTTGTTGTAGCGTGTAGCATTGTAGCGTGTAGCCTTGTTGTAGCGTGTAGCCTTGTTGTAGCGTGTAGCCTTGTTGTAGCATGTAGCCTTGTTGTAGCATGTAGCCTTGTTGTAGCGTGTAGCCTTGTTGTAGCGTGTAGCCTTGTTGTAACATGTAGCCTTGTTGTAGCGTGTAGCCTTGTTGTAACGTGTAGCCTTGTTGTAGCGTGTAGCCTTGTTGTAGCGTGTAGCCTTGTTGTAGCATGTAGCCTTGTTGTAGCATGTAGCCTTGTTGTAGCATGTAGCCTTGTTGTAGCGTGTAGCCTTGTTGTAGCGTGTAGCCTTGTTGTAACATGTAGCCTTGTTGTAGCGTGTAGCCTTGTTGTAACATGTAGCCTTGTTGTAGCGTGTAGCCTTGTTGTAGCGTGTAGCCTTGTTGTAGCGTGTAGCCTTGTTGTAGCGTGTAGCCTTGTAACATGTAGCCTTGTTGTAGCGTGTAGCCTTGTTGTAGCGTGTAGCCTTGTTGTAGCGTGTAGCCTTGTTGTAGCGTGTAGCCTTGTTGTAGCGTGTAGCCTTGTTGTAGCGTGTAGCCTTGTTGTAGCGTGTAGCCTTGTTGTAGCGTGTAGCCTTGTTGTAGCGTGTAGCCTTGTTGTAGCGTGTAGCATTGTAGCGTGTAGCCTTGTTGTAGCGTGTAGCCTTGTTGTAGCGTGTAGCCTTGTTGTAGCGTGTAGCATTGTAGCGTGTAGCCTTGTTGTAGCGTGTAGCCTTGTTACATGTAGCCTTGTTGTAGCGTGTAGCCTTGTTGTAGCGTGTATCATTGTAGCGTGTAGCCTTGTTGTAGCGTGTAGCCTTGTTGTAGCGTGTAGCCTTGTTGTAGCGTGCAGCCTTGTAACATGTAGCCTTGTTGTAGCGTGTAGCCTTGTTGTAGTGTGTAGCCTTGTTGTAGCGTGTAGCCTTGTTGTAGCGTGTAGCCTTGTTGTAGCGTGTAGCCTTGTTGTAGCGTGTAGCCTTGTTGTAACATGTAGTCTTGTTGTAGCGTGTAGCCTTGTTGTAGCATGTAGCCTTGTTGTAGCGTGTAGCCTTGTTGTAGCGTGTAGCCTTGTTGTAGCGTGTAGCCTTGTTGTAACATGTAGCCTTGTTGTAGCGTGTAGCCTTGTTGTAACATGTAGCCTTGTTGTAGCGTGTAGCCTTGTTGTAACATGTAGCCTTGTTGTAGCGTGTAGCCTTGTAACATGTAGCCTTGTTGTAGCGTGTAGTCTTGTTGTAGCGTGTAGCCTTGTTGTAGCGTGTAGCCTTGTAGCATGTAGCCTTGTTGTAGCGTGTAGCCTTGTTGTAGCGTGTAGCCTTGTTGTAGCGTGTAGCCTTGTTGTAACATGTAGCCTTGTTGTAGCGTGTAGCCTTGTTGTAGCGTGTAGCATTGTAGCGTGTAGCCTTGTTGTAGTGTGTAGTCTTGTAACATGTAGCCTTGTTGTAGCGTGTAGCCTTGTTGTAGCGTGTAGCCTTGTAACATGTAGCCTTGTTGTAGCTTGTAGCCTTGTTGTAGCGTGTAGCCTTGTAACATGTAGCCTTGTTGTAGTGTGTAGCCTTGTAACATGTAGCCTTGTTGTAGCGTGTAGCCTTGTAACATGTAGCCTTGTTGTAGCGTGTAGCCTTGTAACATGTAGCCTTGTTACATGTAGCCTTGTTGTAGTGTGTAGTCTTGTTGTAGCGTGCAGCCTTGTAACATGTAGCCTTGTTGCAGCGTGTAGCCTTGTTGTAGTGTGTAGCCTTGTTGTAGCGTGTAGCCTTGTTGTAACATGTAGCCTTGTTGTAGCGTGTAGCCTTGTTGTAGCGTGTAGCCTTGTTGTAGCGTGTAGCCTTGTTGTAACATGTAGCCTTGTTGTAGCGTGTAGCCTTGTTGTAGCGTGTAGCCTTGTAACATGTAGCCTTGTTGTAGCGTGTAGCCTTGTAGCGTGTAGCCTTGTTGTAGCGTGTAGCCTTGTTGTAGCGTGTAGCCTTGTAACATGTAGCCTTGTTGTAGCGTGTATCCTTGTTGTAACATGTAGTCTTGTTGTAGTGTGTAGTCTTGTTGTAGCGTGTAGCCTAGTAGCGTGTAGCCTTGTTGTAGCGTGTATCCTTGTTGTAACATGTAGTCTTGTTGTAGTGTGTAGCCTTGTTGTAGCGTGTAGCCTTGTTGTAGCGTGTTGCCTTGTTGTAACATGTAGTCTTGTTGTAGTGTGTAGTCTTGTTGTAGCGTGTAGCCTTGTTGTAGCGTGTAGCCTTGTTGTAGCGTGTAGCATTGTAGCGTGTAGCCTTGTTGTAGCGTGTAGCCTTGTTGTAGCGTGTAGCATTGTAGCGTGTAGCCTTGTTGTAGCGTGTAGCCTTGTTGTAGCGTGTAGCATTGTAGCGTGTAGCCTTGTTGTAGCGTGTAGCCTTGTTGTAGCGTGTAGCCTTGTAGCATGTAGCCTTGTTGTAGCGTGTAGCCTTGTTGTAACATGTAGCCTTGTTGTAGCGTGTAGCCTTGTTGTAGCGTGTAGCATTGTAGCGTTTAGCCTTGTTGTAGCGTGTAGCCTTGTTGTAGCATGTAGCCTTGTTGTAGCGTGTAGCCTTGTAACATGTAGCCTTGTAACATGTAGCCTTGTTGTAGCGTGTAGCCTTGTTGTAGCGTGTAGCCTTGTAACATGTATCCTTGTTGTAGCGTGTAGCCTTGTTGTAGCGTGTAGCATTGTAGCGTGTAGCCTTGTTGTAGCGTGTAGCCTTGTTACATGTAGCCTTGTTGTAGCGTGTAGCCTTGTTGTAGCGTGTAGCATTGTAGCGTGTAGCCTTGTTGTAGCGTGTAGCCTTGTTGTAGCGTGTAGCCTTGTTGTAGCGTGTAGCATTGTTGTAGCGTGTAGCCTTGTTGTAGCGTGTAGCCTTGTTACATGTAGCCTTGTTGTAGCGTGTAGCCTTGTTACATGTAGCCTTGTAGCGTGTAGCCTTGTTGTAGCGTGTAGCCTTGTTGTAGCGTGTAGCCTTGTAGCATGTAGCCTTGTTGTAGCGTGTAGCCTTGTAACATGTAGCCTTGTTGTAGCGTGTAGCCTTGTAACATGTAGCCTTGTTGTAGCGTGTAGCCTTGTTGTAGCGTGTAGCCTTGTTGTAGCGTGTAGCCTTGTTGTAGCGTGTAGCCTTGTTACATGTAGCCGTGTTGTAGCGTGTAGCCTTGTTACATGTAGCCTTGTAGCGTGTAGCCTTGTTGTAGCGTGTAGCCTTGTTGTAGCGTGTAGCCTTGTTGTAGCGTGTAGCCTTGTTGTAGCGTGTAGCCTTGTTGTAGCGTGTAGCCTTGTTGTAGCGTGTAGCCTTGTTGTAGCGTGTAGCCTTGTTGTAGCGTGCAGCCTTGTAACATGTAGCCTTGTAGCGTGTAGCCTTGTAGCATGTAGCCTTGTTGTAGCGTGTAGCCTTGTAGCCTTGTTGTAGCGTGTAGCATTGTAGCGTGTAGCCTTGTTGTAGCGTGTAGCCTTGTTGTAGCGTGTAGCCTTGTAGCATGTAGCCTTGTTGTAGCGTGTAGCCTTGTAACATGTAGCCTTGTTGTAGCGTGTAGCCTTGTAACATGTAGCCTTGTTGTAGCGTGTAGCCTTGTTGTAGCGTGTAGCCTTGTTGTAGCGTGTAGCCTTGTTGTAGCGTGTAGCCTTGTTACATGTAGCCGTGTTGTAGCGTGTAGCCTTGTTACATGTAGCCTTGTAGCGTGTAGCCTTGTTGTAGCGTGTAGCCTTGTTGTAGCGTGTAGCCTTGTTGTAGCGTGTAGCCTTGTTGTAGCGTGTAGCCTTGTTGTAGCGTGTAGCCTTGTTGTAGCGTGTAGCCTTGTTGTAGCGTGTAGCCTTGTTGTAGCGTGCAGCCTTGTAACATGTAGCCTTGTAGCGTGTAGCCTTGTAGCATGTAGCCTTGTTGTAGCGTGTAGCCTTGTTGTAGCGTGTAGCCTTGTTGTAGCGTGTAGCCTTGTTGTAGCGTGTAGCCTTGTTGTAGCGTGCAGCCTTGTAACATGTAGCCTTGTAGCGTGTAGCCTTGTAGCATGTAGCCTTGTTGTAACATGTAGCCTTGTTGTAGCGTGTAGCCTTGTAACATGTAGCCTTGTTACATGTAGCCTTGTTGTAACATGTAGCCTTGTTGTAGCGTGCAGCCTTGTAACATGTAGCCTTGTTGTAGCGTGTAGCCTTGTTGTAGCATGTAGCCTTGTTGTAGCGTGTAGCCTTGTTGTAGCGTGCAGCCTTGTTGTAGCATGAAGTTTTTCCTATACTGAAAGAAATTAAGAGGAGCAGTACCTTCCCCACCCCTCAGTGCGGTGTCACCGGCCTTGGGGCACTTATGCCCTTTATTGATTGGGCGAGTGCTCATGTGCCAAAAAAAAAATGACGTCATCACAATGAGAGTAGGGGCTCAGGACAGTAACGTGTTAACCTGGCCAGATCTCTGGTCATCTTTGGTCAAATAATTTGCCAGTGATTTACCAAATACATAATAAAATAGAAAAAAATATCTAACAAAATTAGATTTTATTTTTTGAGAATTGATGTTATAAAACACGAAGCTTCACTATTGTAAGACTAACGTTGATTGGCTGCTCATGAAAACCATGATTTTTAGTTTTATAGGCCCCACATCCGGTAAATATTTTGTTAGTGGTTTTTTAAAAAATCGTAAGAGCATCCTGCTTTTTAAGTTGTGTAATTAGGGGTGCGTGGGGGGGGGGGGGGTTTGTAGCGGTCCGCACAATGGTGACACCACTTTGGGGTGGCACCCAGTGGAAAAAACGCTAAATTGACGGTCAAAACAATATTTTATCCAGTTAAAATAGCAAAACAATAAGGAGAGGAGTGACTGTAAACCGAAAAAGCAAAACTATTGGAGGGGTGTGGGGTAACCAAAACTATTGGAGGGGTGTGGGGTAACCAAAACTATTGGAGGGGTGTGGGGTAACCAAAACTATTGGAGGGGTGTGGGGTAACCAAAACTATTGGAGGGGTGTGGGGTAACCAAAACTATTGGAGGGGTGTGGGGTAACCAAAACTATTGGAGGGGTGTGGGGTAACCAAAACTATTGGAGGGGCGTGGGGTAACCAAAACTATTGGAGGGGTGTGGGGTAACCAAAACTATTGGAGGGGCGTGGGGTAACCAAAACTATTGGAGGGGCGTGGGGTAACCATACCAGTGACCACACCGGGTGATACCCGACCCTGTTGGATGCCTTTAGTCAAACCGTTGGCGGCCATAGTCATTACGTAGACCTCTGAGATGTCCTAACAAATGTCCTAACCTGTGAAATGTCCTAACCTGTGAAATGTCCTAACGAATGTCCTTTACTTTGAAACCAGGAGAGCAGTTCGAGCTGACCCTGGGGCCGCCCTGCCCGGCCCTGACGGCCGAAGACTTCCCTGACGGGAACGGCGAGACCCCCACCATCCTGGGCACCTACGTCAGAGCTCTGGACACCTGCCCGCGGACCCGGCTGACCTTCAGCGCCAGGCTGTACCAGTGGTTCAACCAGGCCACGCCAGCTGAGTCACACAGTGACGCCAGCAGCAACCAGTGACGTCAGCAGCAACCAGTGACGTCAGCAGCAACCAGTGACGTCAGCAGCAACCTGTGACGCCAGGCGCTCAACGTTTGGTCATGTCAACTTTTGGCCTGTCAATGTTTTGTAATTTCATCATTTGGTACTGGCAAGTTTAGGTGATGTCAACATTTGATGATGTCAACTTTTGATTATGTCAACATTTGTGATGTCAACTTTTGATTATGTCAACATTTGATGATGTCAACTTTGATGATGTCAACATTTGATGATGTCAACTTTTGATGATGTCAACATTTGATGATGTCAACATTTGATGATGTCAACTTTTGATTATGTCAACTTTTGGTGCTCCGGGTAATAAAGGAAACAACATTTTTGTCTGAATTATTTCAACGTTTTCCTCTCAATGTTTGAATCTGTTATGTTTACCGTTATGTCGACATGCTAGTTCATGTACACATGCCCTGGACATGTGTACAAGTACTAGGCAGACATGCCCTGGGCATGTGTACATGAACTAGGCCGACATGGCATTGGGCATGTGTACATGAACTAGACCGACATGGCATTGGGCATGTGTACATGAACTAGACAGACATGGCATTGGGCATGTGTACATGAACTAGACCGACATGGCATTGGGTATGTGTACATGAACTAGACAGACATGGCATTGGGCATGTGTACATGAACTAGACCGACATGGCATTGGGCATGTGTACATGAACTAGACCGACATGGCATTGGGCATGTGTACATGAACTAGACAGACATGGCATTGGGCACGTGTACATGAACTAGACCGACATGGCATTGGGCACGTGTACATGAACTAGGCCGATATGGCATTGGGCATGTGTACATGAACTAGACAGACATGGCATTGGGTATGTGTACATGAACTAGGCCGACATGGCATTGGGCACGTGTACATGAACTAGACAGACATGGCATTGGGTATGTGTACATGAACTAGACAGACATGGCATTGGGCATGTGTACATGAAATAGACAGACATGGCATTGGGTATGTGTACATGAACTAGACAGACATGGCATTGGGTATGTGTACATGAACTAGACAGACATGGCATTGGGTATGTGTACATGAACTAGGCCGACATGGCATTGGGCATGTGTACATGAACTAGACAGACATGGCATTGGGTATGTGTACATGAACTAGACAGACATGGCATTGGGCATGTGTACATGAACTAGACAGACATGGCATTGGGTATGTGTACATGAACTAGGCCGACATGGCATTGGGCATGTGTACATGAACTAGACAGACATGGCATTGGGCATGTGAACATGAACTAGGCAGACATGGCATTGGGCATGTGAACATAAACTAGACAGACATGGCATTGGGTATGTGTACATGAACTAGACAGACATGGCATTGGGTATGTGTACATGAACTAGGCAGACATGGCATTGGGTATGTGTACATGAACTAGACAGACATGGCATTGGGTATGTGTACATGAACTAGGCAGACATGGCATTGGGTATGTGTACATGAACTAGGCAGACATGGCATTGGGTATGTGTACATGAACTAGACAGACATGGCATTGGGTATGTGTACATGAACTAGGCAGACATGGCATTGGGCATGTGAACATAAACTAGACAGACATGACATTGAACTTAAAGTTGTTCAAGGTTCCTGTTCTACCTGTGGGCGAGTGGGGTTTCATTCAGACATTTTTAACTTTTCGTCAGATGGTGGCGGGACGGTGGACTTACTCAAAAAGGGGGGGGGGGGGGGCAGATGCCTAATAGAAATATTTGGGGGGGGGGGGGGGGGTGTGACAATGACAAACCTTCGCGCGGACGGTGTCTGATAGCTCCTACAGATAGCCCCACCAGTTTATCGACCGCCACAATTGAAGCTTGGCAATAATTAACTCCCCTTACTGGTAAATTTAGCCCATGGTTCGCGGGGTCAAAGTTCGGGTAACAAAGGTTGGTTGTAAACATTGTCGACTCCCTGCTTGCTCCAAGTAAGTAGATTTACATTTAGTTTGACTAGATGGAAGGAGGGGGCAGTTCATTCGGACAATTTGGCCACAATAAATTTTGGCCACTAGCCCTAAGCAGGAAACCCGTGCCCATAAAGTGTAAATAATGAGTGGATAAATTAAAGAACATGTTGGTTACGGCTGGAAGACCGATGCTTTTTACTTTCTCGTCAACAGTGTGTCGAGGAAGTATTGTAATCCTGCTGAATATTTCACTGATATTTTGACAGATTTCGCCGTTTTTCACCTCCCTACTTTATCGTATAAGAAATACTAAGGAAATATTGTAATCATGCACAAATCTAAAACGTGATATCGACTTATTTTGACGTCCGGTGCCAAAAAAAAAAAAAAAAAAAAAAAAATTAGCAACCCGGTTCGTCGGTGTATATGTGAACACGTTAACTTGAGTAACGTTTCAGTTAGGATGACGACAAAATTTCAAGTATAAACAGTCTACCAAACATGTAGTTTTCTATCAACTCTTGAACGATTTCCGGTATACGGAAGTGATTTTTTACTCTACTTCTTGTTTCTCAAAAATCAATAACTTTAGTACTGTTAAAGTCAGGTGGACAATACTTTAAATTTAAGTATCAGATTGTATGCATAAAGTTCTATACGCTTTTGAATTACTTCCGGTAACCGGAAGTGGTACTTTACGCTATTTCCATTATCACACGACAAAGTACAATATCCTTTATAAGATCTTATACGTTGATCACCCTAAAATTTTGAGTGACCTGACTTTTCTGGAAGTTTCCGGTTTCGAAAATACCAATAACGTAACTATCGCTTCAGGTAGGTGGACAAACTTGCATACAAAGGTATTGGATCTTACTCTCTTGATTCCGTCAAATTTTTAATTATTACCGGTGACAAACCAAAACAGCTAATGCCGTCCCTGATACTGAGAGACGAATGTCTTGTGTTGCAGACAATGGCAGCTACAGCCAGCAGATGTCTGTCCGTTTGTTTGTGTCTGGAAGACCCACTGGCCAACCTGCTACTGGTCAGTCAAGTAGCCAACGGATCGGTCTTCGGGCGACATCAGGTGGGTGACGGGTCAGGCACGAGGTAGAGTAGATTCGTGGGGCTCTTGCATTAGATTTGTGGGGCTCTTGCATTAGATTCGTGGAGCTCTTGCATTAGATTCGTGGGACTTTTGCATTAAATTTGTGGGGCTCTAGCATTAAATTTGTAGGGCTCTAGCATTAGATTCGTGGAGCTCCTGCATTAGATTCGTGGGACTTTTGCATTAGATTTGTGGGGCTCTTGCATTAGATTCGTGGGGCTCTTGCATTTAGATTCGAGGGGCTCATGCATTAGATTCGTGGGACTTTTGCATTCGATTTGTGGGACTTGCGTTAGAAAGATTTTCTCTAAGATTCGTGGGACTTTTGCAATAGAAAGTTTTTCTCTAAGATTCGCGGGACTCTTATTGAACAGTCGTAGCCTATGTAGTTAAGCCTCAGCTAGATTTAATTAATGAACAGTCGAAAATAAAAAAATTTAAAAAAAATTATAATAAAAATCTTTTAAAGTTTAAAGGTACTGAAAATAATAATAATAGTAAAACTAATTTTTCTTTAGTTAAAGCGTTGGTCGCTAAAATATGTAAGGGATATCACGAGTGACTAATTCTTCTATCAAAGAAAACAAATTAATAATAAATTACTTTTAATTTCTTATATTTAGTGTATTTAAAAGCTGAGGCTACTATAATAATATATAGTATGTGCTCTATTCATTCAGTAAATAACGAAACAACGAAGTAGGGGAGTTAACTGCAAAAATGTAAATAACCAAAAACGTAAACGATTATATTTCCTTTTTCTAAACATTTAAAACGATTAAAGATGTGTAAGTATAGCGTATGGGCTGCCTATTTTTTCGGAACCTCCATGCATTGCACTGTCTAGAATTATTCACTAGAATCTTAGGTTCTAATTATACAGTTTGTTGGCTGGCTTCAGACAGTGTTCCTTTCAGACATTTTTCTCAGGGCGGGTGGAAATTGTTTTAAAGATTTATCTATAGGGTATAGAGTATATTTTATCGGGAATGAGGGCAGTGAATATGCTACTACAGCTGTACCATTCTCTCAACCCCCCCCCCCCCCCCCCCATGAAAGAAACTTTTAGCATAACGTTGATAGTAACTAGACGAGCCTTAATTCACCAGCCACTGTCGCTGACATTACATGCTGATGGTACGGATGATCTTGACGAGCTAGAAATGGAGATACAAGACTGTTCATTCCCTTTGGTGCAAGGTAAACGACGTTTGCTCATCTACGTGTAACTTTTGTTAGGGTAAAGTAAACTAGATCACTCATAGAACAACTTTTGTTGGGGTCAACTAGAAGAACTTTTGTTGGGGTCAACTAGAAGAACTTTTGTTGGGGTGAACTAGAACAACTAGAACACATTGTGATGAGGTGAGCTCTACATGAGATAAACAAAACTGGATGTTTTCCTCCCACTCAAGCAGGTGTGTCTAAACACCGAGACTTACAAGAGATGCCAGAAGCTCCTCAACTTATTGTGGTCATCTTAAACAGACGAGAGTACAAGCCCTGGGGCTCGTCTGATGGGCAGTTCCAGACACTGGTCAGTCTGGTCATCTACATGCACAACATGGGCAACATGCTGGATGGTCGGAACCTGAGCAACACACAAGTAGGTCACACAACAGGGATGGCGCAATCAAACATCTAGGGCAATGTCAATAACCTAAGGTAGAGACACTTGTAGGTCGTGTTATAAATGGTGACAAAAGTAGGTCAAATGTTAAAAGTGGTGACAAAAGTAGGTCAATGGTTAAAAGTGGCGATCAAACATCGGGGGGGGGGGGGGGGGGGGCGGGGCGACACATCGAGTAGCTGTGTGATGTTACACTCATACAGATTTACATTTTTATGATTGATGCAACAAACTTATTTCTTTAACTTTTTATACTTAAAGTTTCAACAGAAAATTAAATTTAAAAATGACAAAAGAATTAGTATCATCAAAAAAGAATGAGGTGATGTAGAAAGAACTAAAATTGAGCTGAAAAGTTTTCACACAGATACTTAAAAAGTATGCTAAAAAAAACTTTTTATGCAATTATTTACTGCCTGGTTAAATGTGGAACAAGAAAGAAGGACCATTTTGTCCTAGAGAAATATTTGCAGGCATCCTTATGTCAACATAAGCATCAATCAGTCACAGGCTTTTTGCCAAGAGCCTAATTTTTAGAACACTATTTGACTTAGACTCTATAACTACTGGCCCTTTTGTCACGTTTTTTATCACTGGCTACCACCATGTTTTACCAGTGGCTACCACCTTGTTTAACCAGTGGCTACCACCATGTTTTACCATTGGCTACCACCATGTTTTACCAGTGGCTACCACATATGTTTTACCAGTGGCTACCACCTTGTTTGTTTTACCAGTGGCTACCACCTTGTTTTACCAGTGGCTACCACCACGTTTTAACCCAACAGATTCTTGTAGTAGGAGATCTTGCCCTGACTGCCGCCACTATCCTGGCCAGCAAGCTTAGCCAGCTATCAGCCAGACAACTTATAGCGCTGGACGGAGATTCTGTAAGTTGATGAGGCAGATTTGTACATCTCTTTACAGTCAGCATTATGTAACAAAGTATCAGGGACAGTAGTGTGCAACAAAGAATGACTTGGTATCTAAGACAGTTCTGTGTAGACTCTAGTATCTGGGACAGTTCTGTGTAGACTCTAGTATCTGTGTAGACTCCAGTATCTGTGACAGTTCTGTGTAGACTCCAGTATCTGTGACAGTACTGTGTAGACTCCAGTATCTGTGTAGACTCCAGTATCTGTGTAGACTCCAGTATCTGTGACAGTTCTGTGTAGACTCCAGTATCTGGGACAGTACTGTGTAGACTCCAGTATCTGTGACAGTTCTGTGTAGACTCCAGTATCTGTGACAGTACTGTGTAGACTCCAGTATCTGTGTAGACTCCAGTATCTGTGTAGACTCCAGTATCTGTGTAGACTCCAGTATCTGTGACAGTTCTGTGTAGACTCCAGTATCTGGGACAGTACTGTGTAGACTCCAGTATCTGTGATAGTTCTGTGTAGACTCCAGTATCTGTGACAGTACTGTATAGACTCCAGTATCTGTGTAGAATCCAGTATCTGTGTAGACTCCAGTATCTGTGTAGACTCCAGTATATGTGACAGTTCTGTGTAGACTCCAGTATCTGGGACAGTTCTGTGTAGACTCCAGTATCTGTGATAGTTTTTTCTGTGTAGACTCCAGTATCTGTGACAGTACTGTGTAGACTCCAGTATCTGTGTAGACTCCAGTATCTGTGTAGACTCCAGTATCTAAGACAGTTCTGTGTAGACTCCAGTATATGGGACAGTACTGTATAGACTCCAGTATCTGTGTAGACTCCAGTATCTGTGTAGACTCCAGTATATGTGACAGTTCTGTGTAGACTCCAGTATCTGGGACAGTTCTGTGTAGACTCCAGTATCTGTGACAGTTCTGTGTAGACTCCAGTATCTGTGACAGTACTGTGTAGACTCCAGTATCTGTGATAGTTCTGTGTAGACTCCAGTATCTGGGACAGTTCTGTGTAGACTCCAGTATCTGTGATAGTTCTGTGTAGACTCCTGTATCTGTGATAGTTCTGTGTAGACTCCTGTATCTGTGTAGACTCCAGTATCTGGGACAGTTCTGTGTAGACTCCAGTATCTGGGACAGTACTGTGTAGACTCCAGTATCTGTGATAGTTCTGTGTAGACTCCAGTATCTAAGACAGTTCTGTGTAGACTCCAGTATCTGGGACAGTACTGTATAGACTCCAGTATCTGTGTAGACTCCAGTATCTGTGTAGACTCCAGTATCTGTGATAGTTCTGTGTAGACTCCAGTATCTGGGATAGTTCTGTGTAGACTCCAGTATCTGTGATAGTTCTGTGTAGACTCCAGTATCTGGGACAGTTCTGTGTAGACTCCAGTATCTGTGACAGTTCTGTGTAGACTCCAGTATATGTGACAGTTCTGTGTAGACTCCAGTATCTGGGACAGTACTGTATAGACTCCAGTATCTGTGTAGACTCCAGTATCTGTGTAGACTCCAGTATCTGTGTAGACTCCAGTATCTGTGTAGACTCCAGTATCTGTGATAGTTCTGTGTAGACTCCAGTATCTGGGATAGTTCTGTGTAGACTCCAGTATCTGTGATAGTTCTGTGTAGACTCCAGTATCTGGGACAGTTCTGTGTAGACTCCAGTATCTGTGATAGTTCTGTGTAGACTCCTGTATCTGTGTAGACTCCAGTATCTGGGACAGTTCTGTGTAGACTCCAGTATCTGGGACAGTACTGTGTAGACTCCAGTATCTGTGATAGTTCTGTGTAGACTCCAGTATCTAAGACAGTTCTGTGTAGACTCCAGTATCTGGGACAGTACTGTATAGACTCCAGTATCTGTGTAGACTCCAGTATCTGTGTAGACTCCAGTATCTGTGTAGACTCCAGTATATGTGACAGTTCTGTGTAGACTCCAGTATCTGGGACAGTTCTGTGTAGACTCCAGTATCTAAGACAGTTCTGTATAGACTCCAGTATCTGGGACAGTTCTGTGTAGACTCCAGTATCTAAGACAGTTCTGTATAGACTCCAGTATCTGTGATAGTTCTGTGTAGACTCCAGTATATGTGACAGTTCTGTGTAGACTCCAGTATATGTGACAGTTCTGTGTAGACTCCAGTATCTGTGACATTACTGTGTAGACTCCAGTATCTGTGACAGTACTGTGTAGACTCCAGTATCTGTGTAGACTCCAGTATCTGTGATAGTTTTTTCTGTGTAGACTCCAGTATCTGTGACAGTACTGTGTAGACTCCAGTATCTGTGTAGACTCCAGTATCTGTGATAGTTTTTTCTGTGTAGACTCCAGTATCTGTGACATTACTGTGTAGACTCCAGTATCTGTGACATTACTGTGTAGACTCCAGTATCTGTGACAGTACTGTGTAGACTCCAGTATCTGTGTAGACTCCAGTATCTGTGATAGTTTTTTCTGTGTAGACTCCAGTATCTGTGACAGTACTGTGTAGACTCCAGTATCTGTGACAGTACTGTGTAGACTCCAGTATCTGTGTAGACTCCAGTATCTGTGATAGTTTTTTCTGTGTAGACTCCAGTATCTGTGACATTACTGTGTAGACTCCAGTATCTGTGACAGTACTGTGTAGACTCCTGTATCTGTGTAGACTCCAGTATCTGGGACAGTTCTGTGTAGACTCCAGTATCTGTGTAGACTCCAGTATCTGTGTAGACTCCAGTATCTGTGACAGTACTGTGTAGACTCCAGTATCTGTGTAGACTCCAGTATCTGGGACAGTTCTGTGTAGACTCCAGTATCTGTAACAGTTGTGTGTAAACTCCAGTATCTGTGACAGTCATGTGTAGACTCCTGTATCTGTGTATCAAACATTAAACACATGCAGGAGAAGCCTGTGTCCTTACCCCACAAGAGTGAACATCATGGCAGGGTAGACAGGATCACTGCAGCCATCAAAGCTTGGTGGACTGGTCTTAAGGTGAGAGGGGGACCAAATTCTTAGACCTCACAACTTGGGATGGGGACCAAATTCTTAGACCTCTGACAATTTCAGACCTCACAACTTGGGAAGGGGACCAAATTCTCAGACCTCGGATATTTTCAAAACTCACAACTTAGGATGGGGACCAAATTCTTAGATGGGAACCAAATTCTTAGACCTCACAGTCACAACTTGGGAAGGGGACCAAATTCTTAGACCTCACAACTTGGGAAGGGGACCAAATTCTCAGACCTCTGATATTTTCAGACCTCACCACTTAGGATGGGGACTAAATTCTTCAGCGCTGAAAACTTCAAGCTGGGCTACTTTTTATCATCCCCTGTCAAGATGGAAGCTCCCAGAATGTTCTCAGTCAGCAGCCCTGGTCATGTGACCTCCCCCCACATGTCAGAGGTCATGGCCACAACAGACACGGCTCAGCAGATCTTCAACCAACTGGAGGGGAGTGTAAATGGTGCTCAACCTTCTACACTGGCTAAACTCTGACACTCTGCTGATAAAGATGACTAAAAACTTTCTTCATTTGTATCCAGCTTTTTGATAAATAGATGACAGGGGAGGTAAGGCTGTCTGAACACAAGAGTTGACAACTGCCCTTCTGTTCTGGCACATTTGACTTATCTTTTTAAACTGTTTAATATAAAATAAAACATAACTAGAAAAAAGCAGTTTTTCAAAAAAGTGTTTTGGAAGTTTAGAATATTTTTTCTGAGTTTAAACAAATATTTCACAGCAAATTTTGCTTGAAATTAAGGTGAAAACGCTACAAATTCAAAAGGCACTCAAAAGTTGAGACATGAAGTCAAGCATAAAGGTTTGAATAGTTGAAACATCATTCAATGGATCATAAAATAGATAAATATTTGTGGGCTCTATGTGGTCCATTAGAACAGGGGTCTCCAAACTACGGCCCGCGGGCCGGATGCGGCCCGCGAAGTCCTCTCATCCGGCCCGCGGAGATTTTTTTGTACACGGAAAAAACGTTTGTTGGTGATGGCTGAGGAACTTTGCCCAGAAAAATCAAAGACATGCCTGAAAGAAACTGGCCCCGAACTGAAATTTAATAGTTAATGCGGCCCTCGGACTGAAAAGTTTGGAGACCCCTGCATTAGAAGATAAACTTGTATATTTGATATGCCACAACACAAACACTCAGTCCAGTCACATATTTTCAAATTATTTTAAGTACATTAGTTCACATGATAAAATATACAAAATGACAATTGTAATATATATTAGAATACAACAAACAAAAACATGATAAAATGTACATGTATGACAGATGAAGTAGATAGACCTTAGCCACCTAGCAGATAAGTTAACCCACTGTCAAGATAGACCTCAGCCACCTAGCAGATAAGTTAACCCACTGTTAAGATAGACCTGTGCTACCTTGCAGATAAGATTCTAGAGTGGTGATTGCTTTTTTAATCTTCTTGGCATCAGCATCTCCAGGTTCCTGGTGAACAAACTCCTGGAAGTGCTGGATGGTTTTCTTGAGCAGCATGACCTGGTCCAGGAGGGTGTCCACATGGAGGAGTCTCTCACAGACAATGGCATAGTTGCGGTGCCAGAAGGCTGGAGCAATCTTGTGTTTCTCCAGCTCAGATGAGTACAGCTGCAAGGATAACACACTTTTAGAGGGGTGCACACAGCTGCAAGAATAACACTTTCAGGGGGTGCACACAGCTGCAAGGATAACACACTTTCAGGGGGTGCACACAGCTGCAAGGAAAACACACTTTCAGGGGGTGCACACAGCCACAGACAAGTTTTAAAAATAAGTTGAATGAAATCAAATCTGTGGGCCCCCACCTGATAGGACTGTACGAGCAGCCTAGTGTAGTCCGTACTGTTCTCAGGCAGGGTCAAGGCACGCTCTAGATAGAACAAGGCGGTGGCAGTCCTGTAGGGAGGTAGAGAACAATTTCTGTTGGTCAAACATTTGTTTCCATATGGCAGTCCTCATTTAGTTCAACTGTTAGGTACCCACTGATCTTACTTAGCTCATGACTTTACCCACATATCTTGGCTCATGACTGTACCCACATATCTTACTTAGCTCATGACTGTACCCACATATCTTACTTAGCTCATGACTGTACCCACATATCTTACTTAGCTCATGACTGTACCCACATATCTTACTTAGCTCATGACTGTACCCACATATCTTACTTAGCTCATGACTGTACCCACATATCTTACTTAGCTCATGACTGTACCCACATATCTTACTTAGCTCATGACTGTACCCACATATCTTACTTAGCTCATGACTGTACCCACATATCTTACTTAGCTCATGACTGTACCCACATATCTTACTTAGCTCATGACTGTACCCACATATCTTACTTAGCTCATGACTGTACCCACATATCTTAATTAGCTCATGACTGTACCCACATATCTTACTTAGCTCATGATTGTACCCACATATCTTGGCTCATGACTGTACCCAGATATCTTACTCAGCTCATGACTGTACCCACATATCTTACTTAGCTCTCCACATTTCTGAACTGGCAACAGTTTCCCATGAACCGTCATCAAATCTATGAAATAAAAAAAGTATGAATTAAGTTCTAAAAGGGAATATCAACATCCAACATCAATAAAAAAGTTTCTAAAGGTAAAAATAATCCCCAGATCTAACACATATTTCTAAATAAGGTGGTAAATTATCTCCCAGAGACCTGGTCCAAGGGTACAGCCAATCCTCCGCTATATTGGCTGTTTTCTTTGTCCAGAGTTCTAGGTCAAGGTCAGTGTTGCTTCTGACTATCTGCCAGCAGACGCCATAAGGCCACAGGACATAATCAGCTCTCCAAGATGGGTCATGTTCCTGGACACCAATACAAGCAAATATCTGGTGTCTGTAAGACAAAACAGGCAAATATCTGGTGTCTGTAAGCAGGCAAATATCTGGTGTCTGTAAGACAAAACAGGCAAATATCTGGTGTCTGTAAGACAAAACAGGCAAATATCTGGTGTCTGTAAGACAAAACAGGCAAATATCTGGTGTCTGTAAGACAAAACAGGCAAATATCTGGTGTCTGTAAGACAAAACAGGCAAATATCTGGTGTCTGTAAGACAAAACAGGAAAATATCTGGTGTCTGCAAGACAAAACAGGAAAATATCTGGTGTCTGCAATACTATATCTTCATATGCCAAGTTCGCAGAAACAGATGAACTCTACTTCATCTGCCCAACTGACCAATAGGTTCAAAAGAGTAATAAGAACTTACTTATGATCATGTTAAAAGACATTAAAAATCAAGCAGATATGTATGAGGTAGATGGCTGAGGTATGGGCAGTGTAACAGCAGTTTCTTCAGGCTGAGACTCACTAGACAATGTCCTGGTTTTATAATCCCTTAACACCTGACACATCCTGCGCAACTGATTAGAATTTGTTATAGCATGACTTACCTGTCGTAGTTGGCATCAATCAAATCTTTAAAAGTAAAGGCTCTTTTCCCATCCCTGCCCACACCAGAGTACAGCTGCATCCTGTCCCCAGGGAAGTGAAGCCTGGGGTAAAACTCTCTGGTCATAGGGAGGGACCATTCATAGGTCAGTACCTGTAGGGGTGGGTAAGGTAAGAACATTACCTGTAGGGGTGGGTAAGGTAAGAACATTACCTGTAGGGGTGGGTAAGGTAAGAACATTACCTGTAGGGGTGGGTAAGGTAAGAACATAGGGAGGGACCACTCATAGGTCAGTACCTGTAAGGTGGGTAAGGTAAGAACATTACCTGTATGGTGGGTAAGGTAAGAACATAGGGAGGGACCACTCATAGGTCAGTACCTGTAGGGTGGGTAAGGTAAGAACATTACCTGTAGGGGTGGGTAAGGTAAGAACATTACCTGTAAGGTGGGTAAGGTAAGAACATAGGGAGGGACCACTCATAGGTCAGTACCTGTAGGGTGGGTAAGGTAATAACAGTACCTGTAGGGGTGGGTAAGGTAAGAACATTACCTGTAGGGGTGGGTAAGGTAAGAACATAGGGAGGGACCACTCATAGGTCAGTACCTGTAGGGTGGGTAAGGTAAGAACATTACCTGTAGGGTGGGTAAGGTAAGAACATAGGGAGGGACCACTCATAGGTCAGTACCTGTAAAGGTGGGCAAGGTACCTGTAGGGGTGGGTAAGGTAAGAACATTACCTGTAGGGGTGGGTAAGGTAAGAACATTACCTGTATGGTGGGTAAGGTAAGAACATAGGGAGGGACCACTCATAAGTCAGTACCTGTAAGGTACGTAAGGTAAGAACATTACCTGTAGGGTGGGTTAGGTAAGAACATAGGGAGGGACCACTCATAGGTCAGTACCTGTAGGGGTGGGTAAGGTAAGAAGAGTGTGGTACCTGCACCCCTAGCTGAGCACTATGGTTGTGTACCTGCAGCCATATGCTGTGCACCAACAGCCCTCTGACTGACTGTACCAACAGCCCTCTGACTGACTGTACCAACAGCCCTCTGACTGACTGTACCAACAGCCCTCTGACTGACTGTACCAACAGCCCTCTGACTGACTGTACCAACAGCCCTCTGACTGACTGTACCAACAGCCCTCTGACTGACTGTACCAACAGCCCTCTGACTGACTGTACCAACAGCCCTCTGACTGACTGTACCAACAGCCCTCTGACTGACTGTACCAACAGCTCTAGCTGACCCCTATGGCCTGTCAATTAGCATTAAAAGCGCTTTAATTCAGCAAATAAAGAGAACTCACCTCCTGGTCAAATATAGTCAGGTCAGGACGGACATTTTCACAGATATGAAAGTACCTGTAGGCAAATCAGGACAATTATTTTCAAACTTACAACCAATCCTCTCATTAGTGTAAAATGGGTTATAGATAACTGTTTGGCAATATTACCAATGTATCTGAATGTTAGTGAAAGCTTAGTCAAACCAAAAGTTCCCTTCATACAGATAAGACTACAGACCTGAAAGAATTTGAAGGCAGATCTCCCTTAGTGAGGACGATGGAGTCTTCAGGAAATTGTTGCAGGGTCTGCAGCGCAAAGTCTCGCACCACAACGTTGCCACTCTGGTCACACACTGGCCAGCCAAAGTACTGACAACAGAAAACTATTGGTCACACACTGGCCAGCCAAAGTACTGACAACAGAAAACTAGTGGTCACACACTGGCCAGCCAAAGTACTGACAACAGAAAACTATTGGTCACACACTGGCCAGCCAAAGTACTGACAACAGAAAACTATTGGTCACACACTGGCCAGCCAAAGTACTGACAACAGAAAACTATTGGTCACACACTGGCCAGCCAAAGTACTGACAACAGAAAACTATTGGTCACACACTGGCCAGCCAAAGTACTGACAACAGAAAACTAGTGGTCACACACTGGCCAGCCAAAGTACTGACAACAGAAAACTAGTGGTCACACACTGGCCAGCCAAAGTACTGACAACAGAAAACTAGTGGTCACACACTGGCCAGCCAAAGTACTGACAACAGAAAACTATTGGTCACACACTGGCCAGCCAAAGTACTGACAACAGAAAACTATTGGTTACATACTGGCCAGCCAAAGTACTGACAACAGAAAACTATTGGTCACACACTGGCCAGCCAAAGTACTGACAACAGAAAACTAGTGGTCACACACTGGCCAGCCAAAGTACTGACAACAGAAAACTATTGGTCACACACTGGCCAGCCAAAGTACTGACAACAGAAAACTATTGGTCACACACTGGCCAGCCAAAGTACTGACAACAGAAAACTATTGGTCACACACTGGCCAGCCAAAGTACTGACAACAGAAAACTATTGGTCACACACTGGCCAGCCAAAGTACTGACAACAGAAAACTAGTGGTCACACACTGGCCAGCCAAAGTACTGACAACAGAAAACTATTGGTCACACACTGGCCAGCCAAAGTACTGACAACAGAAAACTATTGGTCACACACTGGCCAGCCAAAGTACTGACAACAGAAAACTATTGGTCACACACTGGCCAGCCAAAGTACTGACAACAGAAAACTATTGGTCACACACTGGCCAGCCAAAGTACTGACAACAGAAAACTATTGGTCACACACTGGCCAGCCAAAGTACTGACAACAGAAAACTATTGGTCACACACTGGCAAGCCAAAGTACTGACAACAGAAAACTATCCATTAATTTTAAATATTTTGCTTCTTAAAACTGCCCATCCTCTAAAAACCAACGAATATCTAAAACTAAAAAAATTAATTCATTTTATCAAACAGAACAATAATTTAGTAAATTTAGTAAATTATTGTACAAGCTATAATTTACATATAAAATGTATATGGATCAACATAAGAAAGCTTTAAGTAGCCATACAACAACAAAAGAACACAATGAAAGGAAAGTCAGTAAATCATAGTAAGTTTAGTGGTTTTTGTCTTTCTTACAGACCAGCTGGTGATCTTTGTATGAAATTATGTACCATACATCTGATTATCTCTGGACCATCCATCAGATTATCTGTCTGTTTATAATCCTTCTGATTATCTCTGTATACCATCCATCCAATTATCTCTGTATTATCTCTATGTACCATCCATCTGATTATCTCTGTATACCATCCATCCAATTATCTCTGTATTATCTCTATGTACCATCCATCTGATTATCTCTGTATACCATCCATCCAATTATCTCTGTATTATCTCTATGTACCATCCATCAGATTATCTCTGTGTACTATCCCTAGATAGTGCCCTGAACCAAACACTACTATATAACAAAGAGCCCAAACACCATTTCTCTTAACACATTTTGATTTGACTTCACCAAACTTTGACTGAGTATACTATAAAGCTAAGGGGAAAAATAAAAAAAAAAGGAAAAGCTGAACATGCAGTCAAAGTCTACTCACCATAACAAGGTCAATCCTGGCAAAACATGGACCAAATTAATTTCTGTGTTTAGTTGGTGTATGTGTCTCATGAAATAACACTAAATATGGTTCAAGTTGACAGAGAAGCAAGAGAAAACAGTAGACCTACCACATGAGAGGCAATCAGTGGTAACACAACTGCAACATCCAAGTTGGACGGGAGATAGTTTAGCTTGGAGCTCAAGTAGCTGAAAGTCAAGAAACAATTGCTGAGGCTCACATGGTGCACACACTTTTAGTACAAACACCACATGTTGATTTTTACGTAGCACATGACACAACTGACCACACAACTGACCACATAACTGACCTCCAGATGTCTGCCAGAGCTAGACTTGCCAGGATCACCACTAGAAGGTCACTCTGTATCCAGAACCTTTCTACCTGAGACAGACAACTGAATTTAATGTTGGCTCAATTTATAACATCTTATTACGTCTTATTGCCCAATTTTTTTACGTCTGATGGTCCAATTTATTATGAAAACACTTTATAAAACAGGGGATTTGAGATGTCCATGTTGTATACTGTGTGAACTCACCACTTTGTAAAACAGGGGATTTAAGATGTTCATGTTGTAAATTGTGTGAACTCACCACTTTGTAAAACAGGGGATTTACGATGTCCATGTTGTATACTGTGTGAACTCACCACTTTGTAAAACAGGGGATTTGAGATATCCAGGTTGGCCCGCCAACAAAAAAACATGACATAGATAAGCAGCATCAAGGCAAACAGCATGGGGGTGCTCTGTTTTTTATATCTGCATATTCAAAAGTAAACACTGTCAGTTCAAAGCAAATATAAACAAGTTTGTCAATGTAAATGTAGAGCAAACTATGGTAAAACTGTGCACATGTTATGCATAAATTTGACCCCCGCCCCACAACCAACACCACCACCCAACACACTTATTATACCAGTATTTGACCATTTCATGTGTTTCCCTTGTAATTTCACCACTTACAACTGGGGAATTAAAACATTTACAAACCTGGAATAAACAGAGACCAGAGAACAAACAGCCAAGAGAAATACCCACAGAGACACATCGCTCAATAAATGGTTAATGTATGCACTGAAATAAAAAGTTTTTACTTTCATGTTCATACTTAACTAAATGAAGTATGTTACGCCCATGTCCTTTAGTTCTTTGGAACTAGACGGGGAATCGTAAACAAGAACCTACCAATCGTCACGTCTCACGTAACAATGAAGAACTAATAATGAATTAATAATTATTTTTACTATTTAATGCCACAATAAGAATACAACAACTAACGTTAACCCACCACTGCATGGAACACAATCAGAAAAATACTGCTATCTACAAGTGACAATAAAAAGTCCTTAGTCTGACTACTCTACTTGTCCCTAACGGTCAATTCTAATCTAAATCTACAGACATCCCGTGGCATGCCACCAGCTTACAGAGACGTCCCGTACAGTCAGTACTGGCCAGTCAATGAGAGTTCAAGTCATTAACTACCGACTGTCACTAAACCCAGTACCATACAGGCGATCTGCTTGGCCGGACCCCAGATTTCCCACGGTCAACACTGGTCAGCTTCTGACCTATGGGTCAGCCCAAGTCAAACCCCAGGTGGTCAGTGGTACAGGTGGTCAGTGGTACAGGTGGTGGTCGTACAGGTGGTCAGTCGTACAGGTGGTGGTCGTAATAGTAACTGATGTGAGATCAGCTCTGTCGCTATTGTTTACTACACATACATTTGTTTGACTAATTGGTCACTTGATGCGATGTGTGAAGTGTGTGTTACAAGATTTGATGTGATGACATGACCTACTCAGACATCAAGTGGTGACTAAACTTACATAAGACCTGCCGTAAAACCTTGACCAGTGTGATCTTTGAGCTACAGAATACAAAATTGGACAAATAATCAGAGTTAAGTTACAAGAATCACAATCAACTAACACAGAAATTATAATTCTAAATCTTAAAATACAAAGTACATTTTGCTGTGGATCTACCACAGACTTCCTATTAGGATTTTGTTTAAACGTAGATGAGTTGACAACATTACAGCCACCAACAAATTTAAACGTAGATGAGTTGACAACATTACAGCCACCAACACATTTAAACATAGATGAGTTGACAACATTACAGCCACCAACAAATTTAAACGTAGATGAGTTGACAACATTACAGCCACCAACAAATTTAAAAGTAGATGAGTTGACAACATTACAGCCACCAACACATTTAAACATAGATGAGTTGACAACATTACAGCCACCAACAAATTTAAACATAGATGAGTTGACAACATTACAGCCACCAACAAATTTAAACATAGATGAGTTGACAACATTACAGCCACCAACAAATTTAAACATAGATAAGTTGACAACATTACAGCCACCAACAAATTTAAACATAGATGAGTTGACAACACTACAGCCACCAACACATTTAAACAGATGAGTTGACAACATTACAGCCACCAACACATTTAAACATAGATGAGTTGACAACATTACAGCCACCAACACAACGCACCAGATCCCAGGTCCCATACTCTGTTCTAAAGAAATGTCGTAGGAAGCCCTGAACTGTTCTAGAATCTCCCCAAGTCCATCGCGCTATGTGCAGAAAAGATGAGACTGGGAGATATAAATAAGGCAAAAGTCCACACAAAAGCAACAACCCCTGCTTTAATAGAAGGCCAAATGACAACATCTGAAAATGCACAACAAGAACCATTGTAAATAACTTTGAAAAGGTTATGTTATGTAATTTTAAAGGAAAGCATCAAAAGATTTTTAAATGTATTCCTGTTTGGTAAATAATTTGTGTTAGCTATTAAAGTAATGGAATATTGCATTACCTGTATTTGGCCTAGCTTGTACCATGCCCAGGGAATGAGAGGAAGAACATACAACACACTGGTGTGTTGGTTAGACAGACAGAGCCCACACAGAAATGAACCTATTAAAGAAACCTAGAATTTTATTCATAAAAAATTTTCATCAGTTTATTTAAATTAGTGAATACAAATAATAAAAAAAAAAAGTTAACTGTAACAATAAAAATATGTTTAGAGGTTTTCTAGTTTTTTAAACTTTTTGATTGGAGCAGATGACTCACTAAAAAAACATTTTTGGATGGGGTCTAGCCAACTCACTCACAACATAGAATAAAAATGAAAAATTTCAAAAGAAAAAATGTTTCTTTATGCTGATGTATTTCTGTCATCTAAACAAAATATTATATATTCAATTGTAATTATGGTTAATTTTAAAACAAAAATGAACACTGAAAAAGTAATAATCAAGAAAGATAGCAGAAATAAAATAGCTTGAAAGGCCATTAATTTTTATATAGTCATAACACTGTTACAGCATTATTTTTATCCCACCCATTATAAATGAATTAATATTAATTCAAGTGACATTCAAGTAACTTTCTTAATATATGAGAAATTGCAGTATTGGTCGTTTTATTCTGATCAAGCCAAGATCTATTTTTCTCAGTTAAAATTTTCTATGTTAAAATTTGCATTCAGATTAGCAACTAGAAATGTACCTTAGGTGCTGTCTGTTTGGGACTGGATTCAAACTTGATGGCTGTCAACATCAGACTTGACAAGAGAAGTGTGTTTAAAGTAAAAACCTCAGCAGTTACTGACCACGTGCACACCAAGCTACTGCAGCTAAAAATACAAGCTGCAAACAGCCCAGCACCATGAAGTAAAGTCATTCTGAAAACAGACAGCTAAGTCAACTAAGTTGAATCTAAACAATAACAGACAGAACTAAGTCAACAAAGTTGACTGTAGCAACACGGTTAACCTCACTAATTTGGGGCAAGTCAATGCTTACCTATAGACAATTAGATACAGGACAACAGCACTAAGAGCCCCACATAATGCTGACAGTAAATTTACCCTCCAAGCAATAGAACCAACAGGAATGATGCTGATCAACAGTTTTGCTAGCAGTGTAAAAAGTGGATATCCTGGTGGATGAGCTACCTGCAGAGTTTTGTACAAAGTATGTTTAAAAGAAATTAAAATATTAAACTTCAGACTTGCTAAACTGCTAAATAAAAACTTACACCAAATTCATAGGCAGCAACTATTAATTCCCCAGAATCTCCACCAGGGAGGGAGTGGTGCAAGTTCTTGTAATAAAATGATAGTACACAAGTAAAAACAACAATGCTGAGACTTCCATTTTTGTTAGATATCATCTCAGGCATCTGTAAAATAAAAAACAGAGAATGTCAAATTTTGTGGCATTTGTGGGATGTTGTATGAGTTTGAGCCCGGGATCCGTACTCGAGCTGGAATCCGAACTCAAGGCGTTTGGGTTGTAATCAAACGTTCTATCATTTGACCCCACCGTCAGTTTATTTTTTGTTAGCATGATATTAATACTAGTTTTAATTAATATTTTACATTTTTAAAATTGATATTTACTTTTAATCAGGTCTATTATAGAATTTAGATCCAGTCTGTAGACTATAGTCTCAGTGGTGTCAACAGTGGGGTGCAATTTTTGGGTGACACCCTCAGTTACTGCACCTAGCTATTATTCATTGCCACTTTAATTATAATAATTTAATTAATTCATTGAATAATATTAATATTAATGAATGGTAATCTATCGTTTTAGGTACGTAAAATTGGCCGAGACTAGTAATGTGAAAAAAGGTGACTCATTAAATTTTAGTAATTATTTCACATTTTTAAGAGGATTTAAGTTTTGAAAGTTATAAAAATGGGTAAAACCTTCTTAGGTCTAGTTTAGCGTAGTAAATGGACACGAGGGAGAAAGTATTTGAGAGGCCCATTAATTAATTTAAAAATCATGCATGGCGTAGTTACAATTAATATGGTTATAAAAAATAAAATCCTGTCTGTCTGGTTTTTTTCGGACTTTACTAAAGATTGGATGTATTTGATGTTTTTAATATTTTCGGTAACTAAATAAAAATTTAAGAAAAAAGGCAAAAACAATTTGGTTTTCACGTGTAATGGCGACATAAACAATGACATCCTGCTATTCGGTAGGATGCCTTAAATTTTATTGTACACTTTGTAGGCCTAAGCTAAAAAAAGAAAAACTAGGTCATGGGGTTTAAATGTGCATTGTTATTGTTATTTATTGTATTTAAACAATTATTTAAAAACTTTATCTGCAAAGTTTTGTAAACAAATAATTATCGATCACGGAGTTCCTGTACAGCCAATCAATGTGTCTTACAACGAAAGTGAAACGTCTGGTTTTAAATTAGGCTTGTTGTATGTACTACATACTACTATGTAGATCTAGAATTCTAGATCTAGAAATCTAGATCTAGTCTAGCTAGAGATCTAGATATCTAGATCTAGAAAATTAAAATTAGGGCCTAAACTCAACAAATAATTATTAATCAATAGGGCCTAATGGTAAAATCTTAGTTTAGCCGCAGTTTAGCGGTTAGCGTCGTAAATGGAGGCGAGCGAGTTGACGAGATTCCGTCCCCAATGTTGTTGACATTGAATAAAAACGTGCTTTTTAGATTTAGACCGTAAAAAAAATAAAAAATAAAAACTTAAGCCTAAAATTAATTTAGAAATTTTATATTTTTAGAATAAATGTTATAAAAGTTGCAAATCCAGAGAACTTGAAAATAATTTGTTGAGTTTAAGGCTACATTTCTATTTATTTTCATCAAGCCTAAGTTATAACCGGATGTTTCACTTTCGTAAGACAAATATTGATTGGCTGTACACTGTACAGTAACTTAGTGATCGATAACTATTTGTTTACAAAACTTTGCAGATCAAGTTTTTAAATTACAATGCAAATTTAAAACCCCATGACCTAGTTTTCTATTTTTAGCTTACAATGTGTACAATAAAATCAATGGCGGCCTATCCAATAGCAGGATGCCATTGTTTATGTCGCCATTACACGTGAAAACCAAATTGTTTTTGCTTTTTTTTTAATTTTTATTTAGTTACCGAAAATATTATAAACATCAAATACATCCAATCTTTAGTAAAGTCCGAAAAAAACCAGATAGACAGGATTTTATAACCATATTAATTGTAACTACGCTGTGCATGATTTTTAAATGAATTTATACACCTCTCAAATACCTTTGAGACTTTTCTCGCTGGTGTCGTCCAAAACTAGATCTAGATCTAGATCTAGTAATGTAGGAGAGAGTGAATTAATGAATATGTCATTAAATTTGAGTATATTTTCGTATATTTTGATAAAATATTATAAATAATTGAATAATAAATCACCTTTTATGGTTAAATCAATTTAAATATCCTGAAATTAATTTTTATCAACCCTGTTCGAGACAGTAAATTTGCTATTAAAAACAGCAGCCATCTTGAAAAAATATTATTTAGAGTAGCTTCCCTTTAATTTCTATTCGCATGTAAATGTATTAATTTGTTCTTGTTATTTGAATGTTTGCTATTTTCATTTAATGTTTTAAGTGCTTCTTTTCTTTAGTTATTGATTCAATCGTATATTTTGTCTTTTTTTTTACTTCTCTTCACCTTAATTAAACCCCCAACCTCCATCGTATTATCGTTTTCCTAAAAAGTCAATGTACAAAATTCCCACCGTTTCACTCTATAAGCCTACTTTCTAAGATATCTGACCATAATTTTGACGAAAATAAATGTGTTTTTTTTCTACCAGCTTCCCTCATAAAACATCATATAAAAACACAAGTCACTCCACCATTTACGTCCGTCATGTTATGTTCAATCCCAAGTCACCACCTTTCAGACACATGTTGGTTATACTTTGTTATCAAAATGTCAATATCAATTACACACACAAAAATTAGTGATATGGGGTTGTCCTTAAATGATGTTACATATGATTTGTTTGTGAAGTGAAAGAAGGCGGGCCCGCTATTTATGACGTGTATGCATAATGAAAGAAGGTGAACGGATGGGTGGTGGGGAATACTAGGCCTATATTCCATCAAACTAACGTTGATTAAGCATTAGTATACGTATACCTTGTTAAGAACGGATGATCATAAATGTCGCAAGCCTGCTAGTTTGAGACGTTTGGCAAAACGGCCTCAACACAATAACTCCGTCAAAAAGGCTTGCCACCAAATGCCTGCCGACAAATATGCACCAACATATTGACTCTTAACGAAGGTACTTCTAACAATAAGGCTTAAATCAAATGACTCCTGAGAAAAAATGACACTGACAAAAGAGCCCAAGACAAAATCGGTCGCAAGCAAAGCTAGACAAATCAGTATATTTCACGACATGGCGTATAACAAAAGCTCAACTCTCACTGTTATAAGACTTCTGCATAAATGTACACAATGACCCCGTTATTTCAAATATTGATTACCGACAATATAGTCTAAATACACATTATGAATTCAAGAATCATTCAATTTATTGTGAAATCGATTTGCTTAAACCATTAATTTAGCGAAGTAAATTATAATTAAAATCCATTACATCAAACCCTTACACCGCGTTTACACTTGTGAATGTACGTATACTGTGCACGTCTAGAAAAAAAACGAATTCGCTATTAGTCTAGACATGTATAGTATACATTTCGCAAGTGTAAACGCGATGTTAGTTTAGCGTCAGAATCATTTGGCGCAACAAAACCGGAAACCGGAAATCAATTTATAGTCTGCTGTGCACGTTGTTTTTAAACACAAAGCAAAACGTTTTGTTGTAATCGCAAGAGTTGAGCAGTGTTTTTTTTTTCAAAAAAATAAAAAGTTTGCTAAATAACTAGCTCTTAAGGTAAAAAAAAACAATTAGCCATTAAAGTTTAAGATGGCTGGAAGGCCTAAAGGGGTAAAGCTAATAGGACAACCATTGTCCCGGTCGATCGTAAATAAATGCCAATGGCAGAAATTCGAGCCGAACATTGGGCGATTGTGCGGAGAGTTGGTGAACACTGATGCATCTATGTGCTGGCTTGCTAGCAGAAGATTACTTGCAAATACCCTAACGTGTGCTATCTGCAACAACCCGTGTAAATTGCAAAATTATCGGCACGGAATAAACGGAAAGAGATGGTCATGCGAACCATGTAATTTTCGAAAAAGCATACGGGAGGGCTCATTTTTTTCCAGAAGCCATCTGTCTTTAAAACAAATAGTTTTATTGGTATACTGCTGGGGACAAGATATGCCACAAAATCAAACTATGCGCGAATCGGGAGTGGACGGAGCGAACACTGACAGATTGGTTTAATTTTTGTCGAGAGGATGCTGGACGATACCTGGATATGACATATACTGAGTTGGGTGGTTTTGACAACGATGGAAACCCGATCATTGTTGAGATCGATGAAAGCAAATACTTTCACAGAAAGTACCATCGCGGACAGTGGACGGAAGTACAGTGGGTTTTCGGAGGAGTAGAACGTGGGTCTGGTCGATGCTTCCTTGCTACTGTTCCTAATCGCACGGCTGACGTACTGGAGCCATTGATTTTGCGGCATATTCTACCAGGTACCCACATTATTTCAGATGGATGGGCGTCCTATCAAAATATCTCAACCCTAGCGCACGGAATCTACCAACATTCAGTGATTGTTCACGAAGAGAACTTTGTTCGACCCGATGATCCAGAGGTTCACACCCAAAATATTGAGAACCTCTGGATGAGGGCAACGGGAAGCTGCGACGACAGTTTGGCACAAGTCGTGCTCTGTTTCCTTCCTATCTACGAGAGTTTGAATACCGTTCCTGTTTTCCTGATGACGAATGCATTTTTAGTCATTTTCTAACAGTTTTGGTTAATTTGTATCCAGTCATGTAAAAAGAATACAAAAGTAACTTGTTTCAATTTGTTGTTGTTGATCAAGTGTTACAACTAATAAAGCAATAAATGATTTACCCTCATGGTTTTAGTTTACCCTCATGGTTTGGACTCATTTGTATGCATAAAATAATTTACGACGTTATTACTTTTTGGCTACTTAAAAAGTATGACGCTAAACTAAGGTTTTACTCAATCATGTTTTTCATTATTTTTACTTTCTCGTATGTACGAAGTATAGAGAAAGTCTTTTAATCGTGCAAAAAAAAAAAATTGAGATTTTTACAAACCTCGATGTTTTAGGTCTCCCTGAGTCGGAAAAATGTAGTTTTGCAATCTTGTCCGTATGTGTGTGTGTGTAAACATGATAACTTGAGTACTGTTACAGCTATAATAGTTGATGAAATTTCATATATAAGGATTATATCAAAATCGTAGATCTTTTTCAACTTTTGAGCAATTTCCGATAACCGGAAGTGATACTTGTTCTACTTTGAATTTACAAAAGCCTATAACTTGAGTTGTATTTCAGATAGATAAATGAAATTTCACATGTAAGTAAAAGATCTAATTCTCTACCTTCTTTCAAATTTTGAGTAATTTCCGTTGGCCGGAATTAGTAATTTACGCCATTTCCGATTGCTCAAAAAACGGATGTAAATTTTGAAAGTGCTAATAATATTGCGCACTATTATGCAATTTTATTTGGCGTTCACTTGGTGTGCAATTCTTTTTTCTACGAAATTTTTTTCTATTTTAAAAAGTTTAAGTATTTAAAATGGATTAAAAATCATGTCCATATCGGCCGATTTTATCACTTTATGCACCAGCCTAAAGCGATAGATTACCACTCCTGGGCTTTACTTAAAAGACTTTTAGTTAGTAGTTGCGTTTTGTAAACATTCGTTACTGTAACCCATAGTTTTAAGTTTATTTAGACCGGTGAAAAATAAATAAAGTCAAGAGCATTAAATTACTGTTTCTTTTTACTGCTGCACCATTCCGGATTAATAAGCGAAGCAGACCTATCCTGAGATTATCTAGTCTAGGTCTAGATTTTTGATTTGTTACTAGAAACTAATGGGGCCCAAGGTAAGGCTAATATCCGCGACAAGGGTTGCCATGATGATAAAATGAATTTTTTTAATATGCAACTAAAAAATTCAATTATAAAATAATTAATTTTAAAAAGCTGCCATGACTAATTAATGATTTTATATTAGTATATGGTATTAAGATATAGATCTATTTATTTTTTTCTCATATCAGTGTTTATCTACCTGACCGATTTCTTTCAAACTTGGCACATGGGTCAAGACCTTTGACAATGTCATGTAACACCAAAGTTCTTATTTTTTAAAAGAATTCATTAGTTTCCTATAAAATGCTAAGCTTATTATACACATTATTTGTGTTCATTTGGTGCCAAATTTTTTTTAGTCATGCAAGTATATTGTATTAAAAAATTTAACGCATTGAAATTTTTTTGTTATTAAAAATAGTTTTAGTAACAAGCTTTTATATAATTATCATCTAAAAAAATAGAAAATCTAATTAATCAAAAAAATACCTGTTACTAAAATCTAAGAAGCGACCAAGGCTTGTCTTTTTAGTTATTTAAATAGTGGTTCATATATTTAAAGATCATTTATTTTATACTTTTTAGTGCATAATCATGTAAAAGCTGTTTACCTTTTTTAAAATTATGTTTAGGGCCTTTAGTAATAAAATCTTTTTTCACGATAAAAAGACAAAAAAATCTTTTCATAATGAATAGTATTTTTTTTTTTAAATGTAGCATCTAACGTGTATTTTCAATTCAGTAGACATCAGTATATTTTACACGATAGGCCTATAAAGAATATATTACATTTACAAATGCCTACATAGACATGCATAATTGCTATTCTGTGAATTGATGTTTGTTTACTGTATACTAAGCTTTGATTACCATTTTTTTAAAAGGTTTTTAGGTCCCTTTATAATAGCCAGTATCAAACTTCAAAACATCATAATTTTATTTAGCCTACTTTTATTAGGTGGAGTACAGAATGGCTAACCCCCATAGTTTTCATTTCTGTTCCCAGACTTGAACCTGTAGATTTCCCCTAAGCCCATCATGCTCAAGAGAAGTCAAAGCAGCTGGGTATAAAACTGACCACACAATACCATCATATGTAGGGGTCACAGGAACAGATAAACTGTACATCCACTTCCTCTTTGGCTCCATGATCAGAATGGGAATTTTTTAAATGTTGTGTTTAACATTGATTTTTTGGTAAAGTACCTTACTAGTATCTAGTCTCTGTAAATGACCTAAGTTAATTTTATTGCCCAAAATTTTTATTCATAACATTTGTTCTCAGTCCACAAACAACCTGGACAATACAATAAAATTCATCAAAGAAAACCAGCAAAAGTAAACATTTATTCTGAATGGTACAAATCTTAGAGAAAATTAAAGTTCTACACACAGAACAGAAATTTTTCTAAACAGTGGCTAACAGTAACAGTCTTCTATAAAAGGTATTGAAATTGTTGTGATTAAAATGATGTCAGAGAAATGCACATTTTTAAAATTCTAGTCAAGTGAAATAAATATTCTTCATTCACCGCCAAACTAACCATGTTAATTTCTTTTAGTTAGGACCAGACAAATGTTTCCAATCGCATACAAGTGTAAGTATAGCGATTGTTGCTAGTTTCATGAAAAACAGCAACTGCTTTTCATGTAGGAAAAATACTGTTAGATTCATTTATAATGTTAGTTTAATGGTTCTTTTTCAAAGTTTATGTATCTCCAAGTTTACAAAGGAAAAATACATAATAAAATGACACTGAATTACAATAACTGAGCTTTGATAAAACAACAGGTCTCAGATGCACACAACTCCTTGTCACACAATCAAGAGTCAGATCAAAATTTGGCTTCAATTTCACCACAATTAAATTTTTTTTTTTATCCTACCCTGACAGCTGTTCTTTCATGAAATTCCAACGTGAATTGTCTGTTTCTGGTCATAAATAACCCAGAACAATACAATAATAAACTTATTTGTAACAGTAAAAGTTTGAGGAAGTCTAATAAATAAATATTTAACACTTGTATTGTGGGACTACTTAATCCCATGTAAATGTAAGGTTTGCATGAAACTAATGAGACAAGCTTAACTGATAATTATGGTACTGTAATCAATCAGGGAATTAACTGCTCATATTACTTAAAGTTTGACATATACTTTCATTCCACCAGACTCACCTTCGCAGTTGATTTTTGCCAACTTAAAAGCTATACAGTAATATACCAAGCTTATCAAAGCCTAGTGGATGTTTAGTTTAGTCACCACAAAAGCTAGATGGTAAATTACCAAGCTGATCAACTAAGAGAAAAATCTGGACATACAAAACAACTCTACTGTGTGAAAGACATTGAATAGTAAACAATTTGCTGTAGGAAAATAACCTTCAATTTGTTCAATTACTGGGTGAATTTATGTTAGAAAATATACTTTATTTCTGTATGATTAAGTCAATGACATGAAATATTATGCTATCAATGTAATGTGGAGAAATTTTGTTTATTTTTTTTTAGAACAAAAAATATTAGTGAAAGATACAAGAAGTGAAAGCATTAGAATACACAGGAACTTACTGGCGTAGCACCAGTATTTTAGTGAGCATCAAACGTTACAAGAACAATGTTAAGAAATTCATGAGGAAGATGTTACCATATTAAAATATGTTATTGGCATCTTGATTAGGTAACAGTGCTAAGTATTATTATGTGTGTAAAGATGAGCACTAGATAAAATGCCAGGATGTGAACCTGTATGAAGCATGTGTGTGATATAATGTATGTAGTGGACAGCTGGTGGTGATATAACCCAACAGTCAACACCTCCAGAAGACAAGCCTGTGTGAGCACTCCTCTGATAGGGGCTTGCATGGCATGAGAAAAAGATTTGAGCAAACATTTATCACACTGAAAGAAAGGCAAAGCTGAAAAAACTGTACATTGTTATAGGTAAGAAAGTTAAGTTTGGCATGATATTGCTATCACCATTAATATTTGCTGCTCCCCTACCATTCAATATACACATGAAAAAATATCCATTCAAACAAGACAGCTTTGTGGGTAGCAGAGGTTTGGGGAAACATTTAAAAGGAATCCACACAACAAAAGGGTATGGAGTTATCAAAATCATGTGCACAGTTGACAGGAAAAGAATAAACGGGTTAGTGGAATAAATTTAACCATTTCCAAGTGGCTGAACGTATCACTTTAAACTGATTGTTGTCACTTCTATACCTCAACAGTGTTAGAATGTTTATCCATATTTGAACACTAAATATTTCTAAGAGATTTCTCCAGCAATAAAAGTATCATTGTTTTCTAAAACTCGACTTAGAACATCTTTGGTTTGTGTGTTATTCCCAAACTTAAAGAGAAGCCTACTATATATAATACTGTCTACACCGTAGTCTTCATCTAGAATTTATCTGATTTTAAAAATTCAGTCAATGGGTGATGTTTTTTAAAACTCCAAACAATATTAAAGATGAACAGATAGAAAAAGTGTAAAAAAGTAAACTGCATAAAGATGAATAAAATGTCTGTTTTGTTCCCAGTGTGGTGGACAAAGTGATCAGTTTGAGAACTGCAAGAAACATTGTGTGCTTCATTTCTTTTGACTATTTACACCATTACCTTTATTTACAACACTCCACTATGTACAAGATGTGATAGGGACATTTGTGTTCTTTTAACATAAAATCTAACAGTGCATAAGTAACCAAGAGAAGAACACAAAAATAACGAGTGCATAATTAATGAAAAGAATTGTTTTCTCAAGTCTCACATGGCAATGTTAAGGCAGACTCACAGTTTTTGCCTCCAAGATTTTGAAATAAGTATAAAGCTATTTCCACATATAGACTCAAGATAATGGTAAAATTTGTACTCAAAATATGGATCTTAATGTCCATCAAAAGTATTTAGTCATCTGTTTTACATTAAAACAATTAATTTGTAAGTCGCAATACACACTTTTTTGTTAGTGATAAAATGATAATACAAAATTTTGCTGAATTTAAAGGTCATGACTGTGAGAAATTGAAAATGTATAAATGTCTGTTGATGTTAGCATAATGTCTGTTGTTAATGTATAAAGATTGTACAAGCATAAAACCTGGGATCAACAGTCCACAAAATATCACAACACAATGTAAACAAGGATTGATACCATCATACAAAACTATTTCATAATTGTATAAATATGTGCATGTTATATTTACATGGAGGAAATTATCAAGGTGTCATGAAGACTAAACATGGTTATTAAAGATGAATTAAATGTATAATGAGTAGAGTAGTTGTTATAAAACATATTGTCTTGATGAAGCATTGATAGTAAAAATGGGTTTGTTTATCCTACTGGTAGGGCTCCTGTATGCGGCACCTGGGAGCTATGTGGAGAGGAGAACAACATAATAAATGTAACACATCTGCTTAGAAAATAAAACTATCTTCAACAAAGCAATGGTAACAATGTTTCATGAAGCAATATTCTCCAAAAATACAGTTATATAAAAGATAAAGTCATCACAATCTCTTTGTTATTACAGGTCAGGACACGCTAATTCACAAAAAAAAATCAAATGGAATGATGGAAGAGAGATAACAAATTAAAATCAAAACATTAACTGACAGTATTGCATTTTCCCAGACCAAGTAGTATCTTATTTGCTCAGTGTAATAGGAACCTTCCATCCCCTGAACTTCTCAGTACAATGCCATCTAGCAGAATTTCTTGCACAACAATCCAACTGTATAAATTAATAAGGAATAAATAATACAAAATTCACCAGAAATACATGAGCTCTGACTGAAACATTGAATGAGCCCTTGCTGGGCAATAACCACTGGAGACAGATGAAGGGTCAAAGCAATCAAGTAACCGGCACAAACATTAAAGAGCAATGTTTCTTCACACCCGCTTTAAAGAAATCCTAGCCCACCAAATATTTTGGGATCATGTTAAAAATTCCTGCCCACCAAATATTTTGGGATGTCGTAAAAAATCTTAGCTCACCAAATATCTTGCGATCTTGTAGAAATCCTCACCAAATATTTTGGGATCATGTAAAATCCTAGCTCACCAAATACTTAGGGGTCTAGCTCATGGAATATTTTAGACTGGATACTTGAGATTACAAAAAACAACCAGTGGGAAAATCTACTGCTGCTAGAGATTACAAATTATTGTGTTTTGCATAGTCATAGAAAATTTCACGTCTATGTAATTTTAAACAATTCAATGGAGATATATAAAACAATCTTCTCTAGCTCCATGTTTGTAATTTGTAAGGGAAAATTTTTTTTTTATTATACAAAAGAAAGTATTTGTAAGAAAAATAAAAAGACATTTAAAATGTTTGTTAACAAACTTAAAAACTTAATACATAAAGAAAGTAAAATACAGTTACTTTAAGCAATGTTTTAAAATCTTAAAATGCCCTTTTCAAATTGTTTATACAATGAAAGCTATAAAAATGTGTTGATTAAAAGTTATATTACAATAAATATCCTCAAGTTGACATAAACCATATTGTCTTCTAACGTGAATTGGTTTTTGTGAACACATTGTATACATCTCTAGGTCACAACCAACACACAACTTTAGGTGAAGACATGTTGATAAACAACCATTCAGGAACTGTGAAGATAAGATGAAACAGCTATTCAGGAACTGGGAAATATGATGAAACAGCCATTCAGGAACTGGGAAATATGATGAAACAGCCATTCAGGAACTGGGAAATATGATGAAACAGCCATTCAGGAACTGGGAAATATGATGAAACAGCCATTCAGGAACTGGGAAATATGATAAAAGCCATTCAGGAACTGGGAAATATGATGAAACAGCCATTCAGGAACTGTGAAATATGATGAAACAGCCATTCAGGAACTGTGAAGTTATGAGAAAGCCATTAAGGAACCATGAAGATAGATGAGACAACCATTCAGGAACAGTGAGGATAAGATGAAGCAACCATTGAGGAAGTGTGAAGAGCCCATGTTGATAAGAAAGAAGCAAGTTTACATGTTGGTGAGTTGCTCCTCACTGTTCACTTTCTCCAGCACTTCATCTGCTGCTCCACCCACTTCTGCTGACTCATGCATTGTGCTACCATTTTCTTTACTGGGAGTTTTCACTGAATTATGTCCATCACCATTGGAGCCAGAGTGGGGGTTGGTCATTTGGCCATCATCATCTTCAACTAATTCATCTTCCCCTAGCTCTTCCTCTAATTTTTTTATGTTCTCTTCATATTCCTTTTTGTAAGACTCAAGTACCTAAAGAAAAATTATTGTGTGTAAATTAATGTTTCAATATTTTTTAACCCATAACATTCTAGGAATAAAAAAAACTATTTTACTTCCCATACAGCTGGGCAAAAAGATGACATATTTTTCAACCACTGCACTATTTAAAAAAATATCCACATGTGTTAAAAATATCACAAAAATCACTTAACAGGAAAACAGTCAGTTTATTATGTATGAAAACTGCTTAATAATTGACTAAGGATAAATAAAAACAACATGAATCCCAGAAAACCTTTAACCACTAAAGAAGATTCTCAGGCAACAGTGACTGCATAGGACGGTTAAGTTGCAGTTGCCAACAAGTTTCCAACTGTTTACCTCCCTTAATGACCTACCTCATCTCTCTCCTTCTTATACTCTTTCTTGATGGCCGCTAGTTTGGCTTCAAGTTCATTTTGACGTTTTTCAAGGATATCTTTTAACTAAAAAAACAAAATAAAGAGAAATGTAAAAAAAAACTTGCTAACAATTATCTCAAAAGCTTGAATCTTAATAAAAAAAGTAAAGGTTGTGTTGTACAAGTTAAAAAGTAATGGTTGTTTTTAATGCCGTTCTGTCACATCTGTCAGTACCTACCTTTTGTCTTTCTGCCACTGCTGTCAGCACCTACCTTTTGTCTTTCTGCCACTGCTGTCAGTACCTACCTTTTGTCTTTCTGCCACTGCTGTCAGCACCTACCTTTTGTCTTTCTGCCACATCTGTCAGTACCTACCTTTTGTCTTTCTGCCACTGCTGTCAGTACCTACCTTTTGTCTTTCTGCCACTGCTGTCAGCACCTACCTTTTGTCTTTCTGCCACATCTGTCAGTACCTACCTTTTGTCTTTCTGCCACTGCTGTCAGTACCTACCTTTTGTCTTTCTGCCACATCTGTCAGTACCTACCTTTTGTCTTTCTGCCACATCTGTCAGCACCTACCTTTTGTCTTTCTGCCACTGCTGTCAGTACCTACCTTTTGTCTTTCTGCCACATCTGTCAGCACCTACCTTTTGTCTTTCTGCCACATCTGTCAGTACCTACCTTTTGTCTTTCTGCCACATCTGTCAGTACCTACCTTTTGTCTTTCTGCCACATCTGTCAGTACCTACCTTTTGTCTTTCTGCCACTGCTGTCAGTACCTACCTTTTGTCTTTCTGCCACATCTGTCAGCACCTACCTTTTGTCTTTCTGCCACTGCTGTCAGTACCTACCTTTTGTCTTTCTGCCACATCTGTCAGCGCCTACCTTTTGTCTTTCTGCCACTGCTGTCAGTACCTACCTTTTGTCTTTCTGCCACATCTGTCAGTACCTACCTTTTGTCTTTCTGCCACATCTGTCAGCACCTACCTTTTGTCTTTCTGCCACTGCTGTCAGTACCTACCTTTTGTCTTTCTGCCACATCTGTCAGCACCTACCTTTTGTCTTTCTGCCACATCTGTCAGCACCTACCTTTTGTCTTTCTGCCACTGCTGTCAGTACCTACCTTTTGTCTTTCTGCCACTGCTGTCAGTACCTACCTTTTGTCTTTCTGCCACTGCTGTCTGTACATGTTTCTGCTGAGCTTCTCTTTTGATTCTGAGAAGAAAAGTTATAAAAATTGTGGACTGCTGTTAAATCTTTCATTCCAATAAAAATGTCAACATGAATTTCTTCTGCCTGGCAGAAATAAATGAATGTACCTTGAGAGTTCCTGTTTGTCTTTATGTTTCTTGCCCAGGACTTTCATATGGTCTCTGCTCTGTGCATCCATTTTCTTCTTGAGATCATTGACTTCCCTGTCATGTATCTCATCCAGGGCCTTGGTGTGGCCTGCATGGTTGGTCTCCATCAGCTTGTGCAGGGCGTCATAGATGTGCTCATGGTGTTTGGTCTGGAGATCTAACACCAGCTGGTAATGATCTTTACACAATTTCATTATGCTCTCGTTATGAGATGCTTTCATTTCTCGATGCTGAAAAACGTGAGTCTCACAATTAACTATAGCTCACTTTCTTCTTTTCTACTTAAGTAAATCAAATGCCTACTTTAAGATCCTGTATAGCTATCTAAGAAAACTGAAATGCTTACTTTAAGATCTTGAATGGTCAACAATTCTTGCAGCTCTCTTTTCAGTTGATTTTGTCGTTGCTCCACATTTTTGCCTTCCTTGGCCATCTTCTTTAAAACCTTGGAATGATATTTTTCCATGGAGATTCTAGACTTGGTCTGCCCAGAGATGAGTTTACCCAGCATGAGCTGATGGTTCTCTTCCATCATCTCCCTAGCCTGTGGGGCCCAAAACAAAAAAATCTCATCCTGTGCCTACATCATTTCATTAGACATGTTTACTGGAACTAACTAGTGTTGGCACAAGCAAGAACAAGCCAGGAATCAGCAGAAGTGTGTCACTGACATTGTAAACATTATTTCACTTGACATGCTCTATTCCATGAGTACAGGGCCCAAGTTTTTATAGCAATACTGTAAGCTCTGTTTAAAGAGGGCAGGCTATTAAATAAATCAATATCTTTGTGTTTTCAAAGAAGACTTAATTAGATTTCTAGTTGAAAAACAGAAGGATAAAAAAGACTTCAACTATAAGTTGCATTTGTCCAGCAGCAACAGGTGGTTAGTGGTGGCTGGCAAGGGAGAAAACCCAAGAAATTTCAAGAGCAAAGGATCAGCAAGTGGAACATGTATCTATAGCATTAGATCTTCAGAAGAATGATTACACTGGGAATCTGCTTGGCTTAGCTTAACCTGTAAAACTGGCAATCTGCTTGGCTTAGCTTAACCTGTAAAACTGGCAATCTGCTTGGCTTAGCTTAACCTGTAAAACTGGGAATGTGGAACATGTGTCTACAGCATTAGATCTTCAGAAAAAGGGAATCTACTCTGCTAAACTTAACCTATAAATTTGACTCAAACCTTCTCATGTTTACGGTAAATCGCTTCCAATTCTCTGTCACGTTTGGCCACAGCTTTAATAAATGCCTTTAGTGTCTTGAGTTCGGACAGTGGTGTTGGGTTTAATATAGTCATGTCTGTGAGAAAAATCAATTAGAAACAAACTCAGAAAAAGTACATAGAGAGATGTTAACATGCAATAATTGAACATGCTTTAATAATTCATGCTGTTTTACAAATAATAGAAAAACAAACTTTAATAACCTAGGTGAAAAAAAATGATAGATCCACATTTTAAAAAATTTGATCAATTAATTTTTTTCTTCAGATGTAGCTTTTGTACAGTTCTAAAGCATTCTACAAACAAGGAGGGAAGGGAAAAGTAAGTTATAATCCATGCAGGGGTGGCCTAGAAAATCAAAAGACTGGGAAAGTTTTCACTCTGTTAACTGAAGACACAAGTACTTCATGATCAAAAATGTCATTGCACAAAAGGTGCTCTGTTAACCCTTTAACAACTATGAATTAAAATAAAAAAATGTATGTACATTAAGTACCATTTAAAAAATGATAATCATGTTTTAAAAGCTGAAGGTAATTGGGGAACGTCTTACTAATGGTAAAAAATGACGGTGAATGTGTCATTGGTTTCCAGGTTTATTTCTGACTACTCATATGGGGTGACAGTGGACTTCATTAAAGGCCCACCATGACTATAGCTATAGTAGGCTGATTGACATGCTTTCACTCTAAACCCTCCTTGATTGTTTTATCAATCACATTGAGGAGTAGTTAAATGGTTAAACAGAACAAATGGTAATTAGTATCTACATGAGAACTAACTAATGTTCTGCTACAGCTAACACTGGGCACAGAGAGGAACAAGCCAGGAATCGGCAGAAGAGTGTTACTGACATTGTACACATATTTAAATCAGTGCAGTCAATGTGTGCACTAATGCTTATCAGTGTGTGCATATAAATAAATATTAACATCACTGAGTTAGTGTAGAGACACACGTAGTATAGACAGAATGACAGATATGCTAGCAGTGCTTCCTGTCCAGATATTTGAGGGTTATCTTGTAACCCACACATTCAAAGTTAGACAATTTTATGGACAAAATGAGGATAACAAGTTGATACATTTTTATCACATTATTCCCAGCATTTCCATTAGTTTCTTTATGCAATAGTTTTTCCAGTCCACATTTTTCAAATTAATGCAGAATTCATCCCAATAAAAGTTTACAGAATGTATTGTATTTTTCTTTTAAAAAATTGATGATAAAAAAACGTATAAAATTAGCAAATAATTAGACTCAGGATAATTACCAGACAATTTGGTGAACTGAATATTGTAGGAAGCTGCCAACCCATTTTCTTGGCCCAACATCCCTGAAGACATTGGAATGATGTGTGCAGTAGCTGACATATTTATGGAGACAGTCAAAACTTAACACACAAAACATTCTGTTAGGTGTTTCTCTACATCACAACGTACTGGATAGCTTAGTACACAATATTATATTACAACATTCATCATTATCTAACACTACTACATTGTTATTTTAAACAAATTGAAATATTAAAACTTAACAGCAATAATTATTTATTTAAGTTCATTTATATAAGTTAAGTTTGTTTTTAAAATTATGTTTATTATTTTAAAACTGAGAAGTAGCCAACAAAAAAATATATTGATGGTGCAAAATGATAATAGCTTTTTTGACGTCCACAAAAATTTTGAATTATATTGGGTTAGTGGGGCTGTAGACCAAACTATTGACGTCATTTGTGGCTGTCTAGCTATTAATGACTATATGGGTTGGGGTAAAATTCAGCTAATCAACGTGACGTCATATTACTTTTACTGAACTTTAAGGACACTTTTCGCTACACGTGTTTCCATAATAAATCACCTCTCCCCCTTTTCTTGTGAGCCCTACACACCTGACCACATTCTATATGCACCATTTTTTAATTTTAAACGCGGTTGTTTCGATAAAAGTTTTGGTCATGCATGAGGACACACAGCTAGACTGACATTAATAATGTCAGTAGAACTATGTTTTCGCATATATGATTATGTTTAGTCGGTTGACAATTAGACCAATATCATATCACTTTTTTAAATTTCTGGCATCAGAATGTTATAGTTAAATAAAATAAAATGTAATAAGGAACTACTTATGCACCAAAAAGAAATTCCCTTTCATTATATTATTTGCTGAGCTGATTTAAATAAAAAACTAGTTGTGTTTAATAATTGTCTCATAGACTTGTGCTGATAATAAATGTAATGCATGATTTATTAACTTACTCCCATAGCTATATAAACATACATTAAGAACAAAAAAACCTAAATAAAATATAAGCAGCATAACTAATAGATGAAGATGTGTTAACTTTCAAAAAGACTAATTAAAAAAACAACAACTCCCTTGTTTGTAACATGAAATACTAGCTGAAAGGGCAGTAAAGTAGAATTTTATTGAATCAATGGTTGTTAGTCAAGGCAAAAACCAGCTCATAAAGTAAAGTAAATGTAACAGGTTAAGGGTGTGGTGGTCAAAGTTATCTTTAGTATAGGTTAGCACACCACAAGTCTTCTTCTTCTTCGTTCTTAATTTTTAGTGGTGGAAGGGATCGAACCTTATCTGCCAGAGGGTTGAACTCGAGACTTTTTCAAATTTATCAACCATGAGCTTTTGCCGACTCGACCACGCCTCCATCACAATTAAGGATACGTGTCAATTGGTTATGCGCCATTGAGGCCATTGACTCAGATTTCAGCCTGCTTTTCTTTTTGGATTTGCTTCCATAGCCTTTGTTCAACCAAGAACAAACTGCAAGGCAGCAGTTGTTTGATTTTGGAGTTGTCTCTCCTAGAAGAGCGGCTGTCCCCAGCTAATGAGCCTCATCTGCCCAAGGGTTCGAACTCGAGACTTTTCGGTTTAGCAACCATGAGCTTTACCGACTCGACCACGCCGACCCTCGCCACAAGTAAATATCTTAACCTAGGTAGAACATGTATTGCAAAAACATGGGGTAAAGAATTTTTTATTATGGAATTATAAAGCTTTTTGTGTGGATCAGCTTAAATAAACACCTAATGGATTAATTTTTAGGTAACTAGTAGTAAAAGATTTCTTAGATTATTGAAGGTGAATCATTTTTAACTAACACCTAATGGGTTAATTTTTAAGAATTAGTAGCAAAAGATTTCATAGGTTATTAAAGGTGAAATATCAGTTTTAACTAACAGCTAATGGGTTAATTTTTAAGTAAAACTTAAGTTGAAATGTTAGATCAAGCGAGTCTTGCTGGTTACATAATAACTTGAATCAAGAAAAATATTTTAACATCTCTGTTAGTTGTTAGCAAAGATTATAGATGTGCAATGATTATAGGCATCTAGTGGCTGGGTGCACACTAATGACACAGTGCTGATGATCAGACAGGTACACTAATGACACAGTGCTGATGATCAGACAGGTACACTAATGACACAGTCCTGATGATCAGACAGGTACACTAATGACACAGTGCTGATGATCAGACAGGTACACTAATGACACAGTGCTGATGATCAGACAGGTACACTAATGACACAGTGCTGATGATCAGACAGGTACACTAATGACACAGTGCTGATGATCAGACAGGTACACTAATGACACAGTCCTGATGATCAGACAGGTACACTAATGACACAGTGCTGATGATCAGACAGGTACACTAATGACACAGTGCTGATGATCAGACAGGTACACTAATGACACAGTGCTGATGATCAGACAGGTACACTAATGACACAGTGCTGATGATCAGACAGGTACACTAATGACACAGTCCTGATGATCAGACAGGTACACTAATGACACAGTGCTGATGATCAGACAGGTACACTAATGACACAGTCCTGATGATCAGACAGGTACACTAATGACACAGTGCTGATGATCAGACAGGTACACTAAAGACACAGTCCTGATGATCAGACAGGTACACTAATGACAAAGTGCTGATGATCAGACAGGTACACTAATGACACAGTGCTGATGATCAGACAGATACACTAATGACACAGTGCTGATGATCAGATAGCTTGTGAGCACCCAAAAAAAAATGCTAACCTTTAGGCTTGAATTCTTCTTTTTGTTGTGGGCGAGCTAAAGTAAAGCCAACAATAGAAGATAGAGATACCACCATGTTTGGCTACTAGCTTTACAGTTAACTATCAAGAGCATGGTGTTCTCTTTATTTGTACTAGTCATTAGAAACACTGCAGTATCCCATTTGTAACTTCTGATACACTAGAATTTTATCTATGTGTTTAATCAAAATTTTAATTTGAAATATAAGTGGTAGAAGGATGCTATTTCTACTAGTAGTCCAGATATTGGAGATAATTACACGAGCAAGGTTGTCTTTTCTTTGTTTTGTTAGTACCAGCTGCCCACTCTCTCAATTAATCTAGTACCAGCTGCCCACTCTCTCAACAAATCTAGTACCAGCTGCCCACTCAACTAATCTAGTACCAGCTGCCCACACAACTAATCTAGTACCAGCTGCCCACTCTCTCAACTAATCTAGTACCAGCTGCCCACTCTCTCAAGTAATCTAGTACCAGCTGTCCACACAACTAATCTAGTACCAGCTGCCCACTCTCTCAACTAATCTAGCACCAGCTGCCCACACAACTTATCTAGCACCAGCTGCCCACACAACTAATCTAGTACCAGCTGCCCACACAACTAATCTAGTACCAGCTGCCCACACAACTAATCTAGTACCAGCTGCCCACTCTCTCAACTAATCTAGCACCAGCTGCCCACACAACTAATCTAGTACCAGTTGCCCACACAACTTATCTAGCACCAGCTGCCCACACAACTAATCTAGTACCAGCTGCCCACTTTCTCTGCCCACTTTCTCAACTAATCTAGTACCAGCTGCCCACTCTCTCAACTAATCTAGTACCAGGTGCCCACTCAACTAATCTAGTATCAGCTGCCCACTCTCTCAAGTAATCTAGTACCAGCTGCCCACTTTCTCAACTAATCTAGTACCAGCTGCCCACTCTCTCAACTAATCTAGTACCAGGTGCCCACTCAACTAATCTAGTACCAGTTGCCCACTCTCTCAACTAATCTAGTACCAGCTGCCACTCACTCAACTAATCTAGTACCAGCTGCCCACACAACTAATCTAGTACCAGCTGCCCACACAACTAATCTAGTACCAGCTGCCCACACAACTAATCTAGTACAGGTTGCTAATTCTCTCAACTAATGCCATCAAAATATGAGCTGCACTCTCCTTGACCTTAACTAATAGCTTCCATCATATCATTTATCTCCCTGTGTTCCACCATATGCACCCCACTTGTTTAGTGTTTTTAGAGTAAAGCTTTAAAAAGCTGAGTACAGTAGGGGAGTTAACCAAATGAATAATTTATAAACAAGCTATGTATCAAATAAATGCAAACAAAATGCAGAAACAAAAAAACAATCTTAATAAACCACAAACAAGGACCTTTATGAACCATAAACAAGGGCTTAAATTAACTACAAACAAGGACCTGAATTACCACAAACAAGTAATTCACCACAGACGAGAACTTGCATTAACCACAAATGAGGACCTACATGAACCACTGCTGCCTTGGGAGTTGGCTGACTGGGAGCTCTCTTGCTTGGAGACTGGAATGTGAGGCACAGAATTAGTTCTCAAGGATTTGGACATGTTGTTCTCACTTGGCAGGGGGCTGACACTGACGCTTGTCCCACGGCTGGTCACAGAGCTCTGTCTTTTAGGCCCGGCTGGCTCAGGTGTTGATGAGCCGCCCAAGCTGGTTGTCATACTGCTGTTGATAGGATCTACATCTGTCGGACTTGTTGGTTTCATTTCCTCACAATCCTACAAACATACCATTGAGCTTGTAAACAACCATGCTACTCTTGGCTTTATACAAATTTTAGCAATAGATCAATTAAACTATTTCATTCTTGATTGTTGTAAAAAAGGCTACAATATTTGCTAGACCCAACTGTAAATGTAATACAACTTAAAACTTAACATAAAAAAAGATTATTACTTATGGAAGAAACATTTTGAGAACACAGCCCATTTGGTAAACAGATCTACAGGGAGGAAGTTTACACAGCAAACCAATCATAGACTAAAGATCTATTAGTGAAATGTAGATTTCATCCGAGCTTTAATTCCATTTGACATGTACAGTCAGCGAGTGCCAGACAATGTTTTTTTAAAAAGATGTTGCTGCAATTAATTATGTTTGAACAAAAGTCTGCTTATTGGTGGGTTATGGCAAATCTTGTAATTCAATTTCAACCCACATAATGCTGCAATTTCATCCCATCTTGTCTTTGATGACAATGCAAGAATATCTAATTATTGAATCAATTAGATATTAAATTAGTATTTAAAGATTGCTATATTAAAAAATAAATGGGGAGATAACGGATCAATCTCAAGCTATTACTCAATTAGCCATTTTACAACGGTGAACTGCTGGTCCCACACATTAGTTTCCTTGGGTGTTAAGAAGGGGCAGATAACTGTATTTTAGAGATTGAGAGCTACTGATCAGTTTTAAAACAAATATTTTTAGTCAAGTGTGGTGTGGATTTCATTAAGAACAAAATACTAAAAAGGAGAAAATACGACAAAAAAAAAACTTTATAATAATGTTTTTAAACCACTGAAAAAAAATTGCATAATTACTTTCTTGTATACAAAGTATTGAGGAAATATTGTAATTGTGAAAAAAATCAAAATTGAGATTTTCACTAGTCTTGAGGTTTTATACCTCCCTAAGTCGGAAAAACTTAAAGTTTTGAAATTTTCTCCGTATCTCTATGTGAGTGCGTATCTGTGAACATGATTACTTGAGCACTGTTACAGCTAGGTTGATGAATACATATAAAATTATATCAAATCTCAAGTTCTGTATCAACATTTCAGCAGTACGAAATTTCACATATAAGTAGAAGGTCTAATTCTCTGTTTTCTGTCAAATTTTGAGTCTTTCCTGTGACCGGAAGTAGTATTTTATGCTATTTCCGATTTCTTAAAGTGTTTCTAATAGTGTTTAGCAATTCCTTTTTTAACGATTAAAAAATGTATGTAAAAATTGATTAAAAAGCAAGTCTATATCCCGAATAGCCATCCCCTGTAGTGTTGTATAAGAATATTTGAGAAAGTTTAGGGGAGATCATTCCCACTATATTTTTTCAGTGAATTAAAAGTTTATTATTATAATTTTTTGATTATGTTTTATTATTTGTCAACATTTACAGACAGTAATGCAAAACTTGTATTGTAAAGGCATGCAGAGGGTGCATTTGTAACACAAAGAGAGAAAAAACAAATATCAGTTGTTATATTCCCATGCACATTGTTTGCTATGTCAAGAACAAGACCATGCAGATAGAAAGGTCAAAGTTTACACAGTAGTTTACAATTTTCATGGGGGTACAACTGTTGTGTGGGGGAAAACCCTACAACTTTCTAGTGTGTGGGTAAATCTGACAATTTTCTTGTGTGGGAAAACTCAAAACAAAAGAAAAAAGATGAGGAATTATTTTGTAATCCACACAATGACTAATGGGTACCACTGAGAACATCAGCCAAAGCTTTTCTATATTAGTACCCTAGTAAGTCTGTGTGGGTGAGATATGTTTATTATTTAGCAGCCCTTTGTCTGGTGCAACATTTGAGTTGTACAGAATACTGAATAAACATTTTACAAGTAATGTTTTTTTAAGTATTAAATTGACAAATACCTCCTGGACATTAACATAGATGTTGAACTCCCATTGGAAAAACTCCAGCCTATTTTTACGGTAGTGCTAAAAAACTGCCAATAAGATCGGCTGAATGTGAAATGTACAATAATTTTGTTGGACAAAAATCAATAGAGTTGAACAAAAGCAGATAGAGAAATATTGAACTAAAAAGAATATTTGGAGGAAACACTTCATGCCCTACTTACTAAAGCATCTGACTCTTTCTCCTGTGGTAAAACATTTTTATTGAATGTAAAGCAAAGTTGGAAAAATAAAGTCATGTGAAATCAAACACATCAAACAAGTCATAAATTAGGTATACAACGGAGGTTTCATTATTGGAGGACAAGACATTTTCAACTAGTTTATTTCTCTTGTAAACGTTGAAAATGTTGGCAGGCCAAAAATTTTGTCAAAATCTCAACAAGTTAGCGGTAAAAACAAGGGTCACTCACATCATTCAAAAAATCTTCAGTAAGAACTTCTAATTGCATGGCGTGTTTCTCTAGATTTGACTGGTATGCAATGGGATTAAACAGAGCATCAGCAAAATCTGAAAATATTATCAATGGTTACTTTAAGTTTATTTCAATAGTGAAAGATAATTCATTTCAATGTTAACAGCCACTTGATTAAATATATTCAAAAGTTGATTAAATATTTACAGAAGGTTCAATATTTAGAAACTGAAAAAATATATTTTGCTCATGTCCCAAGGTATTAAAATATCTTTTAACATCAACAGACATCAATTACAGTAGTATAAATACCAATTAATTGGTATTTAAAATTACCTGCAAAATTATCTGGCACATAGTCTTTGACTATAATGTGTACAAAAAGTGTTGGCATAGTTAATGGCTGATTGCATTCATTTCGTAGGGGAATGTGCCTGAAACCTGGTCTAAGACCCTCAACTGGTAGCACTCGATGACCAATTATTGACTTGCCCTGCTCTTCATAAACAGCTATTCGAACTGTTGCCAAGTTTGGTAGTACAATCTGAAAGTAAACAGATTTTAAATTCCTCACCAGACAAATATATTGTTAAATTTTTAAAAAGTCTTTTCATACTGACAGAACAAATAAATACTTTTAACTCAAATGTAGGTCTAAACAACTGTAGGCCCATACAACAGCTATAGGCCTATAAACTGACCTTCTTAAAGACAAATGGCTCTTCATCATAAACAGGATTCAGTCCATTGTTTTGTATAGTTTTGGTGCGAAATTTCTTGCGTACAGTGTCTGTTGGCAGTCCATACATCTCCACCTCAACATATGTACCAACTTTCTTGTCTGACAGGAACTGGCCAGAGATAATCTAAACAGAAACAAGTTTGTTTAAACTTTGTTAACATTAAGTAGACTAAAAGTTTTACAAAGTGATGATAGGGAACACACTGGTTATATCAACTGGTTAATCAGCTGATTATATAGGTCACTGCTGGTGGTGGGCAAATGTCCCTCTTCACCCCCTCCCCTTAAAAGTGTAATCATCTTTACCATTGTACCTGCTATCAGATCTAGAAAAACATTAACTATAAAATCTATTAGACTATAGTTGTCACACATTTTATTTCAATCCCTACAAACTTTTTAAATAGAACCTTTTTTAATTGGGTGTTCATTAATATTTTATTATTTTAACACCATATTTTGTCATATGATTTACTTATGTGCATCATCTAGTTTAAGATGTGCAAAATCCAGTTAAGGATGTGCGTCAACCATGTTAGCCCCAGAGGTTGGGACTTGCAATACCCAAGTTGAGATCATTGGTATGTGCGGCATGTAGTGCAGATTTCCTACATGGTTTACCTTGAAATGTGTTTTTTGTTTCTAATACTTTACATAAGAAATGCGTAAGTACCCTGACTGAAACATATCCAGCAATGATGCCATCAACAGTTGACTCAGCAAAAGGGTCAAAATGGCGGTCAGGTCGTCTCATGAAATCAGGCTTCAAGATATAGCCAGTGCGTCCATTATATTCAAATATGCCCAAATTTACTTGCATGGCCAAATCTTTGGGAATAAAAAAAATCAAAATAAATTACAAATTGGTCTCTAGCATGCATCTCAGACCATATCATGTAGTAACAGCTGGTATGTCAACTACTACAGATGGAAGTTGCTACACAACTGTTGTTGGTCTAGAACTTACCCAGAGTCTGAAAGTTGAGGGCCACTAACTGGCATCCAGCATTCCAAAAGACTTGGGGCATAAAGTTGCTGGAATCAACCCTGGTACCACGTGGGTAGATTCTGCTCATCTGACGCTTGTTGTAGCTTAAGGGGAGGTTAAGGAACAAAAATCACAAGGCTCACAAAAATCACAAGGCTCACAAAAATCACAGGACTCACAAAAATCACAAGGCTCACAAAAATCACAAGGCTCACAAAAATCACAAGGCTCACAAAAATCACAAGGCTCACAAAAATCACAAGGCTCACAAAAATCACAGGACTCAAAAATCACAAAGCTCACAAAAATCACCCCACATTAAAGCACACACATAATGTTTCTCCTGTACTGAAGAGCACAATTCCCCCCACAACTCAGATTTAACAAGCTCAAGAAAACATGTAAAGTAGGGTATCACTTGAATGATATCTCAAAAGTTTACAAAATCTGCATTCATACTGACATTATCTTATAACAATGGGTACTTTTTTTTTCACACTTGTTTGAACATTTGTCTTTTGTTGGTTATTTGTCCTTTGCTGAGTATATTCATGCATAAGGTACTATTTATAGGTATTTCCAAAACATTGTGTTAAAGAAACATTTGTAAAAACAATAGCTTGTAAGCAGCAACTGGCAAATAAGCCGCTCAGCACTTGCTTGTATTTAAACTAGAGTGATAATGTAAGGATACTTGACAAACTCCACAGGAAATTCTTTTAACAAGGATGTGCCTTGGGTCTCCACAAATGATGTTATCTCATAGCTTCTTCTCCTCTCTGAAAAAATGACACTACTTACTGTAACAAACTATCACAGTTTCAAGCTACGTTATGTCAAGGAGTTGGTTTTCAATTACTAGTATTGAGTAGAAAACTTACTTTCTGAAGCATCGAATGAATGGAAATGAACTGGTTGGATATAATTGACCAAGAGTGACATCTCCATAGCTGCTGAAGCTTCTTTACCGGCAGTACCCTGTCATATAAATAAATGGTCAGTTTAACTTTTTGTTCCCTGTTAAATAAATAAATGGTCAGTTTAAGTTTTTGTTCCCTGTTAAATAAATAAATGGTCAGTTTAACTTTTTGTTCCCTGTTAAATAAATAAATGGTCAGTTTAAGTTTTTGTTCCCTGTTAAATAAATAAATGGTCAGTTTAACTTTTTGTTCCCTGTTAAATAAATAAATGGTCAGTTTAACTTTTTGTTCCCTGTCAAATAAATAAATGGTCAGTTTAACTTTTTGTTCCCTGTTAAATAAATAAATGGTCAGTTTAACTTTTTGTTCCCTGTTAAATAAAATGGTCAATTTAACTTTTTGTTCCCTGTCAAATAAATAAATGGTCAGTTTAACTTTTTGTTCCCTGTTAAATAAATAAATGGTCAGTTTAACTTTTTGTTCCCTGTTAAATAAATAAATGGTCAGTTTAACTTTTTGTTCCCTGTTAAATAAAATGGTCAGTTTAACTTTTTGTTCCCTGTTAAATAAAATGGTCAGTTTAACTTTTTGTTCCCTGTCAAATAAATAAATGGTTTATTTGGTAATTGAAAATATTAATCAGTAACCTTTTCTTTCTTCATCCTCTGCCGCCTCTTTTTTTCCTCCTCAGTAAGAATTTTCTTCTGCTTCTTGTTGATTTTTTCTTTCTCCTGTTCTGTCATCACCTCATCATCATCATCACTGTCACTGGACTCTGATTCACTTTCAAAAGCATCGTCACCTTCTTTGACTTGGGTCACTTCTGTTGTTTCTGTAGTGCCTTCACTGTAAACAGAGAGTCAATAGTAATTTTTACAGGAGGACAATTTTTATGAATTTATTTATATTGAGGGAAAGAAAAAAATCTCTTTGTTCTTTATTTTATTACCTGAACTGTCAACTGAAATAGATGTTATACATGTGTTTTTAAAGGTTACAGTTAATTATTCTATGCAGCATGAATAATTTCAACCCTACCATCCCTGAACAAAACTGTCCCCTACACCTGGATCTCTCAACATTAAACAGAAAAATACCCACAAGGTTTGTCTATAACTGGTATGCTTTTTTTTTTTAGTTTCTGATGTAATAGGCAAAATGTACAAGTTCAATGGTTAAATGACGAATTGGAAAAAGCCAAAAATTAAATATTGCTGGATGACGCCAGTTTCATTAATTTAAAAAATTGAAGTGGTAAGCTGCAGATTTGGAAATAAACTGAAAACTAGGTCTTGCCAGAGTAGTTACAGAAGCAACTGTAAGCGGGTGTGTGAGGAAAACCAAAGTTGGCAAGTGACAGGGTATCATCGTCCTATTATTATATTGCTCTGTGTGATGCATTGCAGATAAGCAATTGTAGGCTGGTGATGGGACTGGGGGAAAAGTTTTACCTTGATATAGAAAGATTTTTTTCCAAAGCGATCCTATTTGGAGACTTAGGTTCTGGTAATGCAACAGTAACGGGTGGGCTGATGACTTCCTCTTCTGCTGCTGGCTCTGGCACTGGTGTGTCTGGCACTGGAGTGGCCATCTCTGCATCTTCATCTACTTCTGTCAACTTCACTTTGGCCAGGCCATCAGGTGCGGCTAAGGACACACTAGGCTTCTGTCTGACTCTTTTGGACATGTTTTGGGCTGGGAGTTACAATTTAAAGACAATTTTTATTTACACTCTTCATTCAGGAAAATAGCAAGTAAATTAATTCAGACAAAAAAATCAGCTTAAACATAGATCTAGTAGCTGCAAAACAAATTAAACTCAAATTGTCAAAACTACTAATAAATCTTACAAATTTTAAAAAGTACAATCAGGCCTACATATAGAACTAAACAAGGCTAGAGTAATAAAACTTAAATTATCATTTGTTTTCTTTTTTACTTTAAGTTCAAGAATTTTCAGGAATATACATCCACCTTTAAAAACCGTGAAAATAGTTATTTAATTGTGTTTCTACATTAGCAAGCAGAGTTTAAAGTAGATGGAGAGCTAAATCAGACAGGTAAGGTAGGTTATTACTGAATACCCCGCATTTCTACAACTTGTGTAGAAAAACACAAACAAATGTTAGTTTTTTAATGCAACAATAAAAAAAAGTTAATTTATTAATCTTAAACTTTGTATGTGCAAAACTGCTGAAAAAAAATTAATGCTCAACTGTTATAAACTCTTAATCTAATCCTAAAAAAAAATATGTATATATGTATATATATTTATATATATATATATATATATAATATGGATTAAGTTATGGAATAGAAAGGGTAAAACTTTAATCTTACCAAAAAATAAATTGTGCATTAAATCATAGATTAACAATTCTAAATAATTATTGCTTGAAACAAACCTGTTGATTTTCATCACTATTTTATCAGGATATTAATTTTACCTTGTCAACAGCATAATTTCACTGGGGTGGGGTGGATGGGAAGGGTGTAGGTGAGAAGAAGGTCATAATGTAAAACTAACTGCAGGAGTTTGTTTATATATTTGTGGAACACATTGTTTTCTCCCCAAGTAAAATTTAAAAAAATTTATGTCAAAACTTTTTGTCATTAGACTGCAAAATCTAAAAAAATTGTTCTAGAAAATTCAAGTAAGATTATTTGATTGAAAACTTAAAATGTTCAACATGTAAAAAGTGATGTTAAATTTACAAAAGTATGTGATACATGTTAACTATAACTAGTAAATATCATACATTTTTTAAAAGAATAAAATAAACATGGCAGCAAATTGAAAAAAGTAAATAAAGCATTTGTATAAAGAATAATTGATTTTAAAAACTGTTAAATTGAAGGGTCACTTCAAAACTTAAGTAGCAAATGAATGAGTTATGCACTCACTTTTTACCTTTCTTTTTGGCTGTAGATTATATGCAATTTTGTTTAATTTATCAAGTAACTTTTAATATAATTTTAAGCTGTATTTGGTTTAAATCAAGAACTGTTTAACATCTGGCTAGAAATGCAAGATCTGGTTAGATTACAACATGTGGCCAGTTTGCCCCTGGCTGTTCTTCAGCTTTTGATATAAATATTAAATTATATTTTACCATAGCACAGGTTAAGGTTTTCAACAAGGATTTGTAATCCCATCACCAAAAATAGCCTATGACAATCAGACTTGTAGGATTAATACAGGTAATATTGTTAATGTGTATTTATACAATATTTTGGCATGCAAAAAGCCAGTTCTTCTCTGGGTACAGCAGCTAGTATACATGGATCATAGACTTGATGAGTGGCCCCCCTTTAATGCAAAGAAATTAGACTAGTGGTGAGATGTAAAAGAGACATGCTTACCTCTGTTCTTGCGAGAGGTCTTTTCTAAAAACAAACATCAAAAATGCAGAGTAACCAGACAACATTTAGCAGTGAGAGAGTAAGGCAACCATTCAACAAAAAATGTTGGGACACATGCACTATTTAACACCAGCCACACTACAACACTTGTACAACATTTCAGATGGCCAGCTGTTGTTTTTATGTAACTTATGTCAGAGAATTAGAGTGAGCAGTGCACATGAGTTTGATGAGCACTGCTTGAAGCACAGCTACAGTATCCAAGATGCAAGAGTGACAGTGAGAGCATGCACAACACTATTTAACATTGATCAGATAAAGCAGACACTGAACTATGGTAGGACAATCTACTCAATGCTGTAAGATTTTTTATATCAAGTTTCTAAAAAAAAAATTTTCATTAGCTTGAAGTAATTTAAAAAAGTTTTTTTTTATTTACTGGTTGAAAAAGTCAAGATCTTTTTCATTAGATTATATTAATTAAGTCTGGATGTTCAAGCTCTATGACAGACTACCAAAACAATAGGAGTTGACAACAATCAGGAACAGCCAGAGTTACAGCTCTTACCTCGGTGGAAATGTTTCTTCTTGTTTTTGATGATGATTTTTCTTTTTAACTGAGTAGGGCTGGGCAATGGGATGTCTTGTTTCAGCTGACAAAAGGAAGTTAAAAGAAATATAATTTAATTGAGCAAACTGATAAAAAAATCATTTAAAGAATAAGTGTACCATCTTTATTGTAACAAATTTCATGTTTTGTAACTTCATGCTAACACCAGTGTGCACGTAACAAAATGTTATGTAACACCTCACAAGTGTAGTAAAATCTGTACTCACTGGATTACTGTCCAGAGCATTTATAAGCAACATGTCCCCAAATATTGTCCTGCAGTAATTGGCCATCTTTGCTTGTTGTTTTGGACTAAAAAGGTAAACAAAAGGTGCAAAGGTAAACAATATTTTTTTTTCTAGCCTTCAGTTAGGTGGCAAGTGCTTTGGTTACCATCATTTATTTATTAAATTGATTTAGCTTCAGCATAGAGAAAGATTACATCATGTGACTAGTGACAATTATTAAATTGTTCAGTTGTTGCATTAAAAAATGTCTAAACAAGCAAGTGACTAATCAGAAAGAAAAAATAAATTGTTCAGTTGTTGCATCAAAAAATGTCTAAACCAGCAAGTGACTAATCAGAAAAAATAAATTAGATTGTTCAGAAGGAGCCTAAAAATTATCTCATGAGACTAATTAAAAATTACCTGCAGTGATTCTCAAAAGAGAGAATAACAGGATACTCTGAGGTTTTGAAAGCACTCTGTGCTATGGCTTCTATAACATCCTGTGAAGGTAAGTTAGACAGGGTGGATTAGTTGAGTGACTTGTCAGTGTGTGAGACAGGATGGATTAGATGAGTGACTTGTCAGTGTGTGAGACAGGGTGGATTAGATGAGTGACTTGTCAGTGTGTGAGACAGGATGGATTAGATGAGTGACTTGTCAGTGTGTGAGACAGGGTGGATTAGATGAGTGACTTGTCAGTGTGTGAGACAGGATGGATTAGATGAGTGACTTGTCAGTGTGTGAGACAGGGTGGATTAGTTGAGTGACTTGTCAGTGTGTGAGACAGGATGGATTAGATGAGTGACTTGTCAGTGTGTTAGACAGGGTGGATTAGATGAGTGACTTGTCAGTGTGTGAGACAGGGTGGATTAGATGAGTGACTTGTCAGTGTGTGAGACAGGATGGATTAGATGAGTGACTTGTCAGTGTGTGAGACAGGATGGATTAGATGAGTGACTTGTCAGTGTGTGAGACAGGATGGATTAGATGAGTGACTTGTCAGTGTGTGAGACAGGTTGGATTAGATGAGTGACTTGTCAGTGTGTGAGACAGGATGGATTAGATGAGTGACTTGTCAGTGTGTGAGACAGGATGGATTAGATGAGTGACTTGTCAGTGTGTGAGACAGGATGGATTAGATGAGTGACTTGTAGGTGTGTGAGACAGGGTGGATTAGGAGTGACTTGTCAGTGTGTGAGACAGGGTGGATTAGTTGAGTAACCTGGGCATGAGATGATGGTAATCCTGCAGTAAATGTTTACCTTGAACAGAACTTCAGTGCACATGGTGTAGCCGTGGGTTATGATGGGCTCCATGTCCGAGTCTTTACCATCCCAACAATCCAGCTCCACACATCGGCAGCCACTGAGCAAAACTTGGTGGTACATTTCCACTGAGGACTTGCCAGTAAACTGGTGGCCTGTTCAAACAAAAACTAAACTTCATTTGTACTTAGACCAGATTTTACAAGGATTGTTGTCCTCAATTATAAAAGTACAAGCTAACCTGGTAGTTCAAGTCCTAAAAGCTGTTCTCACTTATAAAAAATCCTAAAAGATTGCTGTTCTCACTTATAAAAGCACAATCCTAAAAGATTGCAAACAAAAGTGGCCTCTGACCTGTCAAATAGGTGTTGTGGGAGGAGTTTATAAAATAATGTGCCAGGGGTTGGTCCATGTCCTCACTGATGTCCAGCTTGTCTGGGGGGATCAGGTTGTTGTCTTCACTCATGAGGAACTTGAGAAAGCCTTCCTGAGACAAGTGCCCTGAAACAGCCAAGACATGATCATTTTTGTGTCAACACCTGCAAGCTGTCAATCTATTCATTAAGTCAGGAGTAAAGCTCATTAACAAACTAGACCATCACCACACAAGCTATACTTGTTTACAGTGTGCTTATACTTTATATTAAAGTATATTCCTGTACTAGCATTGATCTAACTGCGACTAGCTAACTGCAACAATGTGCCTAGGCTGGTAGAAATATGTCTACATAGCTCTGGTCTACGTGCCATCCAGATCATGCAGTCACAACATCTCATCTATACTAGCAGCCTTCATGCTTCAAGGCATTCAAATGTTAGTTCTCTAATCAGGCTAATTAAGCATGCAATACATGGAATAATTGATTGTCCATATTTATTTGCAGGAGATTTTACTAGTGTTCTATATTTTTGGTGATATTATTTTCTTTAAACTTAGAAAGCCAAAACTAAAATCATGCACTTCCAAGCTGGCAAATAATGTGGAGGGAAAAATTTGAGATCCTTCAGGTCAGGTTATAACATCTAAAAAGGAAAATAGAAAACAAAAACACTCCAAGACTTGGAACAACTTGCAGACAAGGGGCTGATGAGCTGCCTTAGTCAGACATTCAACCTAGGGCTGTTACATCCCATAGGTAATGCCGAGACATATACAGGTAGATATACTGAAACAGCACATTCAGTTTGATGACTGGTGTAGAGTCACCAGGTGGACAGCTGAATACTTATTTTATTGGTTGGGACATGGATTGGGTCATAGCTGATACTTATGGGGTGGTTGAGTATTTATCATTGAATTCTTGGCATTGAGTCATAAAGTTTACTGACAAGATTATAAAACTGCTAAAAGTCATACAGATGACTGATAAGATTATAAGACTGCTGAAATTCATACAGAAGACAAATGGCAGCCTAACAAAATATAATAGCCTGTTAGTCATCTCTGGTTAAGTCATGCATGTTACATGAAAAGCTATTAATGTTGGAGCAAGTCATATAATGCTTAAACTACAAGTGTGTGATAAAAATCAGTGCAATAATATAAACAAATATCAATACAACTATAGGAGAAATTGCAAGGGTATTATGAATGACGTTGGTTATATTAGGGGAATTCGTTGATATTTAGTTTTTCACCAGACAGCTCTACTCATGTTCATGTGGTTTGGCAAAGGATATTGATTACAAACATTACATAACGAGGAGAGAAAATGGTTATATAATAGTCAATATGCTAAAATTTTAAACATCTTAGTTCAAACTATCTCTAACATTTAAGTTATTTTTTAACAAAAAGCATTCAAATGGACTTGTTAATTATCACAAACAATTTAAGATGAATGCATTCATGCCAAGTAGCTAAAGGTCTAACAGGTAATGGGGATAAAATCAAAAGGTGAATATTTGCCATTGGGGTCTACCTACACGAGCTGAACACAACAAGATTCTTACCTTTTTCTGAAATAAAATAGAAAAGCAGTTAGTTATTTCATTAAATTACAGAAAAATAAAGGGACATAACGGGGTTGGGACAGTGGTTTCTGTCTAGTGGGGTTGGGACAGTGGTTTCTGTCTAGTGGGGTTGGGACAGTGGTTTCTGTCTAGTGGGGTTGGGACAGTGGTTTCTGTCTAGTGGGGTTGGGACAGTGGTTTCTGTCTAATGGGGTTGGGACAGTGGTTTCTGTCTAGTGGGGTTGGGACAGTGGTTTCTGTCTAGTGGGGTTGGGACAGTGGTTTCTGTCTAATGGGGTTGGGATAGTGGTTTCTGTCTAGTGGGGTTGGGACAGTGGTTTCTGTCTACTGGGTTGGGCAATGGTTTCTGTCTAGTGGGGTTGGGACAGTGGATTCTGTCTAGTGGGGTTGGGACAGTGGTTTCTGTCTAGTGGGGTTGGGACAGTGGATTCTGTCTAGTGGGGTTGGGACAGTGGTTTCTGTCTAGTGGGGTTGGGACAGTGGTTTCTGTCTAGTGGGGTTGGGACAGTGGTTTCTGTCTAGTGGGGTTGGGACAGTGGTTTCTGTCTAGTGGGGTTGGGACAGTGGTTTCTGTCTAGTGGGGTTGGGACAGTGGTTTCTGTCTAATGGGGTTGGGACAGTGGTTTCTGTCTAATGGGGTTGGGACAGTGGTTTCTGTCTAGTGGGGTTGGGACAGTGGTTTCTGTCTAGTGGGGTTGGGCAATGGTTTCTGTTTAGTTAACAGAATTTTCAAAAACTGAAGTGCAGTGAATTCGTCATGCTGAGACAAATGGTGAATCAAGAGCAGAGAATTGTGAGGAGTGAGTTTTGTCAGTGATGTTTTAAATAGAAATTGCATATTAAGGCAAAAATGATAATAGATAATAAGGCTTTTTACTTTTATTAAATTCAAAGTAAGATCTAAAACTATTTTAAAAAGAAATAATCTATTTAAACATGGGTAGCTGAGTGAAACCAAATGACTTCTAGAACATTCTTCACTACAGACAAACTGGCTTAATACATTTTGTGGTGCATGTAGCACACAGAATAAGTTTGTAGGTGTAGAATAACATTTAAAAAATTAAACTGGTCACTGTTGTAAGTGCTAGAAAAAGTTTCTTGATTTAAAACAACTAAAATAATGAAATGAAAAAAAAAAAAAATGTTTAAAACATCTCAGCAAGATGTCTTCAATAGTAACAAGGACATAAGGATGAACCCAACATCTCAATGGTAAGAGGGACACAAAGATGAACCCAACATTTCAATGGTAAGAGGGACACTAAGATGAACCCAACATCTAAATGGTAAGAGGGACACTAAGATGAACCCAACATTTCAATGGTAAGAGGGAGACAAAGATGAACCCAACATCTAAATGGTAAGAGGGACACTAAGATGAACCCAACATTTCAATGGTAAGAGGGACACAAGGATGAACCCAACATCTCAATGGTAAGAGGGACACAAGGATGAACCCAACATCTCAATGGTAAGAGGGACACAAAGATGAACCCAACATCTCAATGGTAAGAGGGACACAAATATGAACCCAACATCTCAATGGTAAGAGGGACACAAAGATGAACCCAACATCTCAATGGTAAGAGGGACACAAAGATGAACCCAACATCTCAATGGTAAGAGGGACACAAAGATGAACCCAACATCTCAATGGTAAGAGGGACACAAAGATGAACCCAACATCTCAATGGTAAGAGGGACACAAAGATGAACCCAACATCTCAATGGTAAGAGGGACACAAAGATGAACCCAACATCTCAATGGTAAGAGGGAGACAAGGATGAACCCAACATCTCACTTTCACAAATTCTCCATCATTTATATCTTCTCTGCAGAACTATTTGCTTCAATAACAATATGATTCAATTATCTTTCTTAACAAATCATGAAAAATATTCAATTTTTAATGAGCTCACACTAAACTGGACATTCACCATGACATCAAATGCATTTTATAAAATTATAATTAAGTTGTAGTAGTTCAGGATAAACATCAGTAGAGTACAATGTAATTAAGCTGTAGTCATTTTAAGACTTATCATCAGCTAATAGGATTAGAATTTTATGACAAGACATACTCGCCAGACACACTAAAGAGGCTAATCATCAGACAGGAACATGAGACATACTCGCCAGACACACTAAAGAGGCTAATCATCAGACAGAAACATGAGACATACACGCCAGACAGACACACTAAAGAGGCTAATCATCAGACAGAAACATGAGACATACGCGCCAGACAGACACACTAAAGAGGCTAATCATCAGACAGAAACATGAGACATACTCGCCAGACAGACACACTAAAGAGGCTAATCATCAGACAGAAACATGAGACATACACGCCAGACAGACACACTAAAGAGGCTAATCATCAGACAGAAACATGAGACATACTCGCCAGACAGACACACTAAAGAGGCTAATCATCAGACAGAAACAGTGTGAGTACCTTTCTGTGCCATCCCAGACTTGTTCTCATACTTGTTGATCAGCTGGTCAGCCTGGGCCAGCGTGTAGTTGGGGTACAGGATCTCATTCAGCCGGGGGTCGCGCTGGTACTTGTTCAGGAAGTCACGGAACTGCTGGCTGGTCAAGTAAGGTTTTTTCTTGGCACCTCTGTCAGACAAGTTTTAACAATCATCATGTGCCAACATCATGGCTCAATGTTCATCACACCTGACAACATCATGACTCAACATTCATTCATCATACCTGCCAACATCATGACTCAACATTCATTCATCATACCTGCCAACATCATGACTCAACATTCATTCATCATACCTGCCAACATCATGACTCAACATTCATTCATCATACCTGCCAACATCATGACTCTTCATTCCTTATACCTGCCAACACCTTGCCTTAAAACAATAAGACCTACATCCGGGGATTTTAGTTTTTTTTATATTAACACAAATCTTACATATAACTAACCTATTATCTGAATTTTACAAAGTGCTACAATTTTAAAAGCTACTTACAATTCATCAAATATTTTGTCAACCTCAGTTCTACCAACCAGGTGCCGATAAAAATTGAAGAAATTATCAAAAGTAAATTTTTGAGGGTTAATGGCATCAGCCTGGAATAAGATTTTATCAGTTACAGTCTGTGGTGAGTTTATCTGTTACAGTCTGTGGTGAGTTTATCTGTTACAGTCTGTGGTGAGTTTATCTGTTACAGTCTGTGGTGAGAGTTTATCTGTTACAGTCTGTGGTGAGAGTTTATCTGTTACAGTCTGTGATGAGAGTTTATCTGTTACGGTCTGTGGTGAGAGTTTATCTGTTACAGTCTGTGGTGAGTTTATCTGTTACAGTCTGTGGTGAGAGTTTATCTGTTACAGTCTGTGGTGAGAGTTTATCTGTTACAGTCTGTGGTGAGAGTTTATCTGTTACAGTCTGTGATGAGAGTTTGTTACAGTATGTCTGTGGTGAGAGTTTGTTACAGTATGTCTGTGGTGAGAGTTTGTTACAGTATGTATGTGGTGAGAGTTTGTTACAGTATGTATGTGGTGAGAGTTGTTTGTATGTGGTGAGAGTTTGTTACAGTCTGTGGTGAGAGTTTGTTACAGTATGTATGTGGTGAGAGTTTGTTACAGTATGTATGTGGTGAGAGTTTGTTACAGTATGTATGTGGTGAGAGTTTGTTACAGTATGTATGTGGTGAGAGTTTGTTACAGTATGTATGTGGTGAGAGTTTGTTACAGTATGTATGTGGTTAGAGTTTGTTACAGTATGTATGTGGTGAGAGTTTGTTACAGTATGTATGTGGTGAGAGTTTGTTATAGTATGTATGTGGTTAGAGTTTGTTACAGTATGTATGTGGTGAGAGTTTGTTACAGTATGTATGTGGTGAGAGTTTGTTACAGTATGTATGTGGTTAGAGTTTGTTACAGTATGTATGTGGTTAGAGTTTGTTACAGTATGTATGTGGTGAGAGTTTGTTACAGTATGTATGTGGTGAGAGTTTGTTACAGTATGTATGTGGTGAGAGTTTGTTACAGTATGTATGTGGTGAGAGTTTGTTACAGTATGTATGTGGTGAGAGTTTGTTACAGTATGTATGTGGTGAGAGTTTGTTACAGTATGTATGTGGTGAGAGTTTGTTACAGTATGTATGTGGTGAGAGTTTGTTACAGTATGTATGTGGTGAGAGTTTGTTACAGTATGTATGTGGTGAGAGTTTGTTACAGTATGTATGTGGTGAGAGTTTGTTACAGTATGTATGTGGTGAGAGTTTGTTACAGTATGTATGTGGTTAGAGTTTGTTATAGTATGTATGTGGTTAGAGTTTGTTACAGTATGTATGTGGTGAGAGTTTGTTACAGTATGTATGTGGTGAGAGTTTGTTACAGTATGTATGTGGTTAGAGTTTGTTACAGTATGTATGTGGTGAGAGTTTGTTACAGTATGTATGTGGTGAGAGTTTGTTACAGTATGTATGTGGTGAGAGTTTGTTACAGTATGTATGTGGTGAGAGTTTGTTACAGTATGTATGTGGTGAGAGTTTGTTACAGTATGTATGTGGTGAGAGTTTGTTACAGTATGTATGTGGTGAGAGTTTGTTACAGTATGTATGTGGTGAGAGTTTGTTACAGTATGTATGTGGTGAGAGTTTGTTACAGTATGTATGTGGTGAGAGTTTGTTACAGTATGTATGTGGTGAGAGTTTGTTACAGTATGTATGTGGTGAGAGTTGGTTACAGTATGTATGTGGTGAGAGTTTGTTACAGTATGTATGTGGTGAGAGTTCACAGTCTGTACCTTCCCCGCATGAAAGCCAACACCCTCCAAAGCCTTCTCCACCTTCTTCCTGTCCTCCCTGTTGCTGGCCACACTTTTCACAATGCTGAGAAACAATTACATTAAATATCAGGCATGTCTTTCTCTAAAGTTCTTCACAGCATTTTTATCTAGCTATCTGTTGACAAAGTCTATCAAAAGCAAATATTAGGGGATCAAGTTCCAAATGTTTAGGACCACTGTATAATTAATAGTTAATGCCCAAGAAATGTCATTTAGCAGCTGAAATGGCACATACTTGTGAAATGAATTGAGTGTTCACTGGTGCAACATGAAGGCAGGGACATTCAAATAAATGCCATAGGAATCTCTGGGCTTCATTAGCTATCAATAAATGACAACTTTGTTTTCACTCGTGGCAGATCAGTGAATGCTTGAATAACTGGCTGCAAGCTAACAAATGCCACAACCAACACGTGGCCAGGCTTTCACTTCCAAACTGGCAGCCCAAGCTTTAGTTTTGGGACATGCCAGATTTTTAGCTGGTCAAAAGAAGGGTCCAGCTGTCTATGCTGGCAGCTATTTGTTTTAGATCAGTCAAGAAGCTTTTAATGTTAAAACAAGTAGATGTGGAAATAATCAGTGAATGTGTACTCAAGTAGTAGTAACTAGGACTAGGTAAGGTACAGTGGTGTCACTAGATCAGGTGTCAACTGGTGCCTTAACTCAGCATGTTACCATTACACCCTCCAATATATCTTTATATATATATATATATATATATATATATATATATATATATATATATATATATATATATATATATATATATATATATATATATATATATATATATATATATATATATATATATATATATATATTTATATCAATATATACACTTATACATATAATATTTGAAAGCTCAATTTAGTTCTCAGGTGTACTTTACGTATTAAATAATTCAACTCTGAGAAAGGTTTAGTAAGTTAATGATTTAAGACAGGCAAAGTTGGTAGACCCCTGCAACACAGTCTTACTTTTTCATGGAGACTTTTCCCTCATTATTGAGCACTAAACTAAAGCGTGTGTACTGCTTGTCCAGGTAGGTGAGAGCACTGCTGTTTAATGCCAACAAGTTGGTCGAGTATTTCAGCAGCTCCTCTGCCCACTCCTGAAAGTAAACACAGAACCATCACAAGGTGAACCACTGACCAGAAGATATTCAAACATTTCAGACGTACACAAACTTACCTGAGCTGTTTCTTTAACACAGAACCATCACAAGCTGAACCACTGACCACAAGATATTCAAACATTTCAGACGTACACAAACTTACCTGAGCTGTTTCTTTATTGGCACAAACAAAATTTACTATCTCCAAGTTGACCATGTCAGATCCATACACAATGGTGATCATCTTGTCTTCTAGAGGAATATCCATCTGACCAATGCCTAGAGATTCTCTCAGCTTGTGGTCCTGTCAACAAATAAGTCAGGTTTAATGATCCATTGGGCAGTTACAGTTTAGTTCAGGTTTCTTGACCTCAGCATTTGAAGGAATGGTGGTCAGCACTATGCTCGCCACCTTTCCCTAATGTGAGTCAGATACCCATCTTGACTCAGGGATGGCTGCACTCCTGAATCTAGACTGTGATCTCAACTCAAAACCTTCAAACTAGCGGTCAAGCACTCCATGAATCTACTAAAATGTCAATAAATAGTCAAACATTAAAGATTCTAATGTTGGAACTGATCTATTTCATACCATAGAAATATGTGACACTTCAAAATTATAGGGGTTGGGGGACTGCTCTAAATTTTTTTAAACATCAATGTAAAATAATTCTGAAATTATAGTGAAATAATAAAAAGCTCCACTATTATTCACGCTGTGTTGTTAAGAGTGTGGGGATAGAGTAGAAGTAGCAAGTGACCCAATGTACCTCAGTGTTGACACCACACTATTTTCTGAACTGGGACACCCCACCCCCCCCCCCCACCATACACACGGCCTGCTAGGTGATACGGCATCCAGTTTGTAGTACACCCTCTCCTTATGACGCAATACAGTGATACTCTCTTCACACCTCCACCTTGTAAAAAAAAAAGAATGAAGTCGTGCCCCCCCCCCCCCCCCCCGCGACACGGTGTCGAGTTATCTCCCGTAGTGACACAGTAGGAAGTTATCGCCCCTGGTGCGTGGCGAGGTGGCGCTGTGTTGACATCCCGTGCCTAAGCAATTTGTGCTAAAACAGGCGCTCATGAACAAGCCTGATGCCTCTGTGGGCCGGTCGATAAAAGCTGACATGTCCAATCTACAGACAGCCGATAGAAAAATACAGCTAAATAAACCTCATCGGCGTACGTAGATTTGACATCATTTGAAGGCGAACCCCGGGCACTGACGTAATGTAAGGACAGACATAAGGAATTAAAACAAACCATGCCAAGAGACGGAGAACATATGGTGTTGGGCTAGTCTTGCTTTGTTTACTAACAAAAGGGACAATGAAGAACAAAACAAATGCAATGAAATATTATTATAAATTGTAGACAGCCGGTCAGATGTCCAAGTGTCCGGCCTAACCCGACCATGTGTTGCTATTAAGGCCTAAAAGTAGATTTGCATAGTCTTAGTCCAGCATGTAGATCAAGGTCGCTCCACCATTTGGAGAAATCTGGTGGCCAATGGTCCACACCCCACCACCTTATAAGTTCTTCCAGGCATCTCTTCGGGGGTGGGGGGGGGGGGCACTCCGAAATTTTTGCCATTGTCGTTCCCCCTTCCGGGAGGAAAAAAAAACAGCTTAAGTTAAATATGCAGGCCCGTCAACCCACCCAAACCCCCTGTACCCCCGCGCCATCTAATATGCATGAAATATGCAGACACGAGTTATTTCTCTAGTGCAAGCGGCAGTCGACCACAATTAACTGAAACATAATTGTGTGGATAATTAGGTTAAAACAAATATCAAAGACAATCAAAAATGTCATTTTCAATAATTTAGGATGGTCACAAAATGGCATTTAACTGATATAAAAGACGAGCAGATGTTTTATATATAAGATGGACGGAGAATGTCAGAATGCTTTATAAATATAATAGAAAGAGCATGTCAGAATGCTTTATAAATATAATAGAAAGAGAATGTCAGAATGCTTTATAAATATAATAGAAAGAGAATGTCAGAATGCTTTATAAATATAATAGAAAGAGGATGTCAGAATGCTTTATAAATATAATAGAAAGAGCATGTCAGAAGGCGTTATAAATATAATAGAAAGAAGATATCAGAATGTTTTATATATAAGATGGACAGATAATATCACATGTGATCTGCAAATACTGGAGCCAGATTACACTAAGTTGCAGGTACCTAAAAGTACCGCCAAGCTTCTAGCTGAAGTGACACTTGGCATTCTTTGATCATGACTTTTTAATTTAGTGACAGAGCTGAGTTGTTGACTATAGTGTGTGTGTGACTGGGCAATGAATGGACATCCACTAAACAGTTCTACTGGAGAGTCAGACAAGGCCACACGGTAGACACATAAAAATACGGGAGATTAAAGCGTGACAGACGAAAAATCGATAGCCTAAAAAGTCGGGCCAGCCAGAAAATAAAAGCCTAAAAAGTCGGCCCAGCCAGAAAATAAAAGCCTAAAAAGTCGGCCCAGTCAGAAAATAAAAGCCTAAAAAGTCGGCCCAGCCAGAAAATAAAAGCCTAAAAAGTCGGCCCAGCCAGAAAATAAAAGCCTAAAAAGTCGGCCCAGCCAGAAAATAAAAGCCTAAAAAGTCGGGCCAGTCAGAAAATAAAAGCCAAAAAAAATCGGGCCAGCCAGAAAATACAAGCCTAAAAAGTCGGGCCAGCCAGAAAATAAAAGCCTAAAAAGTCGGCCCAGCCAGAAAATAAAAGCCTAAAAAGTCGGGCCAGTCAGAAAATAAAAGCCTAAAAAGTCGGCCCAGCCAGAAAATAAAAGCCTAAAAAGTCGGCCCAGTCAGAAAATAAAAGCCTAAAAAGTCGGCCCAGCCAGAAAATAAAAGCCTAAAAAGTCGGCCCAGCCAGAAAATAAAAGCCTAAAAAGTCGGCCCAGCCAGAAAATAAAAGCCTAAAAAGTCGGGCCAGTCAGAAAATAAAAGCCAAAAAAAATCGGGCCAGCCAGAAAATACAAGCCTAAAAAGTCGGGCCAGCCAGAAAATAAAAGCCTAAAAAGTCGGGCAAGTCAGAAAAAGCCTAAAACTTCGGCTCCTACAGGGGGCAATGAAGGTTGTATCGGTGGCTCGTTGTTCATGCTAAAAAAAACGGGTTCGTTATACTGTAAAAATTGAACAATCTGTGGAGTTTGTATGTTTACACAGACATACAAATGAAAACCATCTTGCATTAGGGAACTGATTGAAGAGCAGAAGCAAGAAGATGGTGTTCTTGCATTAGGGAACTGATTGAACCACAGAGCAGGAAGATGGAGCTGACTGAACCAAGCTTGGCATCACAAAGCTGGCGTGAATCTCTCGTGTGAGACCTAATTGTTCACTCATTCTTCAGCCCAGCCCTTCACGATGTAGTCTACAGCAATACGATCGCTTCATCGGCTGCGGCTTTAGTCTACAGCAATACGATCGCTTCATCGGCTGCGGCTTTAGTCTACAGCAATACGATCTCTTCATCGGCTGCGGCTTTAGTCTACAGCAGGGGTCTCCAAACTACGGCCCGCGGGCCGGATGCGGCCCGCGAGGTCCTCTTATCCGGCCCGCGGTGATCTTTTTGTCCGCGGAAAAAAACGTTTGTTGATGATGGCTGAAGAACTTCGCTAAGAAAAATCAAAGAAACTGGCCCCCGAACGGAAATTTGATAGTTAATGCGGCCCTCGGACTGAAAAGTTTGGAGACCCCTGGTCTACAGCAATACGATCGCTTCATCGGCTGCGGCTTTAGTCTACAGCAATACGATCGCTTCATCGGCTGCGGCTTTAGCGAGGGACCATATGAGTAAAGGGCAATCACAGACCTTCAATGTCAGACCAACTGATGGCGCGGTCACACAAGTAAAGCATACATTCAAAGGGTCACAACATCATCACACATCTGCAGCACACATCATCACACACCTGCAGTACACATCACACACCTGCAGTACACATCATCACACACCTGCAGTACACATCATCACACACCTGCAGTACACATCATCACACATCTGCAGCACACATCATCGCACATCTACAGCATACATCTGCAACTACTGGTGTCTGTCAGCTTAGATGGCCAACTACTGGTGTCTGGGGGCTCAGATGGCCAACTACTGGTGTCTGGGAGTATAGATGGCCAACTACTGGTGTCTGGGAGCATAGATGGCCAACTACTGGTGTCTGGGAGCATAGATGGCCAACTACTGGTGTCTGGGAGCATAGATGGCCAACTACTGGTGTCTGGGAGCATAGATGGCCAACTACTGGTGTCTGGGAGCATAGATGGCCAACTACTGGTGTCTGGGGGCTCAGATGGCCAACTACTGGTGTCTGGGGGCTTAGATGGCCAACTACTGGTGTCTGGGAGCATAGATGGCCAACTACTGGTGTCTGGGGGCTCAGATGGCCAACTACTGGTGTCTGTCAGCTTAGATGGCCAACTACTGGTGTCTGTCAGCTTAGATGGCCAACTACTGGTGTCTGGGAGCTTAGATGGCCAACTACTGGTGTCTGGGGGCTTAGATGGCCATCCACTGATGTCTGTTTAGGAGCTTAAATGGCCATCCCTGTCTTTTTTTTTAAAGCTCTGGGCAATGTGCCAAACACAAGCCCGGAGTGCAATCGGCCGTTGAATGACGGCAATTAGCCCAATAATTAACGTTGCTTTAATGGCGCGCTGCTATCAAGGATGTGGGTACTGGTCAGGATCCCACATTTAGACAGGCTAGGGTCCCGATAGGCTAAAGTCATCTAAAACAAGGGGGGGGGGGGGGGGGGGATTAGAGATCCTGTCAACTATTTCGGTGCCTGATGTCTGCTTAAAAATATCCTTAACAAGTGAATTGTTCAACGTTTTGCACAAATTTAAGCACATTTTATAGTCGTGAAAAGTCTATGTAATCATACTAAATTAAAAAAAAAATCTTTAAAAAAAATATGGCAAGCGAAAAAATTATAGTTACACTTTAAAAACTTAAAGCTGTTTGGGGACCATCGAATACACTAATTTTCATATTTTGTATTAAATATAAGCCGTTGAAATTAAGGAGTTTAGAATTATTTTACCATACAAATTTTTTAAAAAATCGCCCTCAACCTCTACTTGAAGTGGCCAGGGAGAGTAAAACAATGAAAGACGTAACAATTGTTTTCACTTGGTTAAATACACAATAGTGGTCTATAATGTATAGTCAAGTATTGTATTAAATAATATAACATCCCCTATCACCACAAGAACCTTACTCTGCAAAATCGAAATTAAAAATAAAAGTTTTTGCTAAATTACTA